GTCGCGTGAACACGAATATGGTTTTTCAGTCACTCATTTGGAAAGACCTATTGCAGAATTGTGCTTTTCAACTTCATGCCCGAGAAGCTCTGGCAAAGATCGCTGCCAATCCTTGGACTCTGGATGATTATGTCAGAATTCTCAAGTCTTCCGGTCTGATCTTGCTTCCTAGTTGGGAATTGCCGAAAGAGGGGACCCTAATATAGTGCCCTAAATAGTAAAATAATAGGATCCTTCTTATAAGGACCCCCACAGGGATTTTCCAGGGACCCGAATATAGTACCCTAAATAGTAGGATCCTTGTTGCCTTATTACAAGGACCCCCAAATAAGGTACCCCTAATTTTCGGAAACTCCTTCGTTCATCGTCTGCTGACCCCAAGGCTGCCACCAGCACCCAGAAAGGCTCCGATAGCGTCTGCCAACACGGTGGCCTCGTACGGATGCTGCTTAGGTTGAAGGGTGCCTTTCAAAGGGTCCTACAAGGTCTTAATCTTTCCAAGAGCGCAATATAGGGCTTGCAAAAAATTGGTTTTGGGCCCAGTAAACAAAAATGATAGTTCTAACAAGGAAGACCCAAAATAGGATAGGCATTTATTTAGGCCCCTGTCCCCGTAAACTATAAATGTAATGAGGAACCGCCCAAAATAGGATAGGCAATTATCGTAGCAAAAGAGTCGGAGCAGTAAAGTTCGGCATTTCGCGCCTCGGGAGGCGCCGGGGGATCCTGCTCTCAGGGATGCTTTCTTGCTTAAAGTAGGAACCTGTTCATATAAGGAACTCTAAGGCCCAAGGTTGTTTTAATCAGGTTCTTACATTAGGATGGAGGTTTTCTTTGCTGTCCTTGCACCAGGGATCCTCGAATTTTGGGGTTCTAGTATTCGCCGCTAGTTTCTAAAGCTCCCAAAATGGTTTGACATGAACTGCTCGAAGTGATCACGCTCCTCGTCGGCAGTGATCTCGAGATCAATCCGCCAGGACACGATGTCTTGTGCCGGTGGCCGGAAGTGACTGCGAGCAGCATCCTGTGAACTGTTCTGCACATCCCTCTTAATTACTGACGAATTTCGGATCTCCTGGCCCAGGTGTCGATTCTTAGGTTAAGGGTTTGCAATCTACTTCAGGGTCACCCCTTCAGCGTTTCAAGCCAGAAGTCTATTCCCAACTATCATGTCTCCCCGGGCGTTGAGCAGCTTGCTTGTAAAGGGTGTTCGTGCTCCTTGGGCCTTGATCGGAAGCCTTGTCGCAGAAAGCCTGGGTAAACATTTCGGAATGCATACAAAGGTGAAAAAGCCTTGACGCCCGAACCAAGAGCATTATGATATTGTCTTGGTTCAGAAGCCCTGCACCCCAACGGGTGCTACGAGTATATACCGTGCATTATTTCAGGAGCTACCTGCCTCATTTGAGGGCTTGGGCTTGTGCGCCTCATGTTGGCTGTAGGCAGACTTCTTCAAGAGGTATGGAATCAGCCAGTCACACCCTCTATGTGCATATAGTCTTTAGTCGGCTGACTCCCAAGAAGAAGAAGCAATGACCCAATGCACAAATCTGAATTGCAACAGCAGGATTCGTTCTTCGAATCGCCGCATCTGTCCCACTCATGAAAACCCTCAATAGCTTTAAACGGATCGTAAACGGTCTCTGGGATCATGCAGTTCATTTCTCCAAATCTCGCCTCAACCGCAAGGCATGCGGCCAGCGCAATGGACCGCTGGATTCCTCTTGCAAGCCGGGCGCTGGAACACTTGCCCTCGCTGGCATCTTCCCAGCCTGAGCCTTGAGCAACCTCGGCCTCAGAAACTCACGAAGGCACGCCAACCCCACAGCTGCACAGCTCCGACATCTCTGCCTTCTGAGGCCCGGGCTTGGGCTGCTTCGGCTTCTTTTGCTTCCGCCCTGAAAAGAAGGCGACTTCGGCTTTCAGTCAGACGGCATGTGTTGCGAAGTGCCTGTAAAGAGCAAGGTCATGTAGGTAGGCTCGTGCAAGCGAGAGATCAGCAACCTCAGCATAGACAGTTGTCAATGCGAATAACAGAGTCTGGCCGTGACTCCACCCATGAAAGGACATGCATGGAACAGCAAGCGAAAACACGAAAGCGTCCAGTCATCTCTTTCTGAACTCCATTCTGCAGGTCTTTGGCAAGAGGAGCACGACAGTACTCGCTCACTAAACTTGTTTGTCGATCGTCCTGATGAAGAAGTTTCCATGCCAGGACGAGACCCGGCCATACCTACCCAAAGCTTGCGGTGCACCACAAACAAGGCATGATCTCGCTTTACGAGATAAGCACACTTTTTGGCAAAGCAGGACCTGGGCTTGAGCTGATACCTGCCAGGGTATTTGTCGTAATCCCAGATGGCTTCCATGGCGCCCGGATTGTCGCCAGCGTGGGTCCAGTAGGCATTTCCACCCTCGGTGACCAAAAGATGAGTGCCCCATGGGTGGATCTTGATAAGCTCCTTGATGTCATCCGGAGGCGGGCCTGAACAGGGCCGATTCAAGCTGGAGCCTCTCACACAAAATCCTTCGTCTTTAAAACCTAAGACATCTAAACCCCTAAACCCTAAACCCTAAATGCTAAAACCCTAAACCCCCAAACCCAGTCGCTTGGCTCGTGACTGCCTGCCTTTCACCAGCTCCCATCCTCTCGGCAAGGTTTTGGAGCGAGTCACCGAGATGTCGGACTTCGTCCTTGCAAGAATTGTAGTAGGCTCTTTGTATTGGGGTCCCCAAAGGTGCACAATTACTATATTACTATAAGGTATCAAGAATTATAGTAAGCCCTTCGTATTGGGGTCCCAAAAGTGTGCAATTACTATAAGGTATGACTTCCTTGTCGGCAAAACCTCCGGAACCCACTTCTTGACCAGGAGCTATCGATGCTTCCAGGGCTTCGGTTTTAGGCTTCACATAAGCTACTTTCAAGTTGAGCGGATGATACGACATGGCTTCTGCACAATTCGAATCATGCAGACAGGAAAATGCAGCTGGCAGGGAAGAATTGGCGACTGCAAAGGCAGACTATGCGTCTGATGTATGACTTCTTCCGGATGATTCCAGTTTCGTACTGATTAAAAGCAGCTCGCTGCTCACGTCGACAACAATCCTCAAGTCTATATATTTATATAGACAAATAGATAGATAGATTCTTAGTTTACGAATAGCAAAACCTACAAAATACATACATGTTAGAAGGTAATGTCAACCGGCTTCGAGCCACCGCTCGCTGTAGCCTTGCAATTTGGTCCCGTCAGCCGACAAAATAGCGCAGCACATCGCTGGCTCCAGTGATTCGCGGTGCATGCTCCCAAAACATGAACATCATGGCATGATATACAGAACCCAATGACCCCAGTATCGGAAGATGCAGGCACAACGCGCAATCGTTTACAGCATTTTGTGACTGCACCGGATTTGGCACAAGTACATTCTATCTTTGGAACAGACAGGTCTAGTATCGCTTATAGCTTTCACAGGCTGCTCAACAGATCGCAGTGATGGTCGACCAGAGGGCTCGTTGTGTCCGCTTGTGGGTGATCTAACGCTTCACCCTGAGGTTCCGTGAAAGTTGGCACAAATTCGCTAACATGGCAGCTGTTGCTCATCGTGCCTGTATCTGCTTCGATGGACCAGCCGTTCCAAGTTTCGACGGTGTCGTAAGATCTCGCCAAGACTCTGATAGTCGTACTGCGTGGGTGCCTCTGTAGACCAGGGTGCATTCTGCACTGCCGGTGTGAAATCGATTGTAGCATAGAGGTAGCCCCCGTGTTCGATGGAGGCTGCCTGCAAAGCTGGGGTATGGGCTGAACCAAACAATAGAAAAGCAAGGATAGCAAAGCTTTGCTTTTCAACAGGCTGAAGACCCTTTTGCGGCCTTCTGAGCCTCCGTTATGGAAGGTGGTGCATTCGCTGCATCCATGCGGGTCTTCGGTGGAGGGATACGATACTCCTGAAAGCACAGAAGCTAGACATGCTACATGCGGTAAACACTTAGCAACCTGCCCTCTCTCTGCTGCGGCCCCCTGTCCTGGGCCTGCGCCCGTCGCTTCTCTTTGCTCCTGTAGCCAAATCGGACAAGCTCATGTTCGGCCGGCTACCAAACAGCGTATATATACATCTGCATACGACTTTAGAAAGCCATCCTCTCTGTCGCAGGGATCCCAGGCCCTGACTCTTGCCCGGCGAAATGCACTGGTTCGACATCTGGCATCTCCCATCAACCAGCAATCCGAAACGCCTGCTTGCAGTGCGTCGTCGTGGACTTCGGGAGCTCGAGGCAGCACGCCTAACGAGGCTAATTTTGCCCAAGGATGCATTGCCAGAATCTGCAGGGGTTCTTGCGACACAAAACTGGCGGTACTGAAGTAACGCGCAAACCGAGCAAGCAGTGCAGGCGGCCAAATCTGTCATGCCTTGTTTAGCCGGACATGGAGGCAGCAACAATCTATGAACATAACTACGAATGTTTCATTGCGGGTCTCCCAAACGAGTGCTCTTTCGGTTGCGGTCTGAACCGTAGAACTCACGTGAAATACGTGCTGGTAGCTTGGCAACGGAAGGGCCCGCTTGGGTTGTCGATGTCGGCTCGGCTCGCGGCTCGAGATTCGGTCCGGAGCTTTGCATTATTATTATTATTACAATTATTATTAGTAGTAGTAGTAGTAGTAGCTCTCAGAGGCTTGGGCTTTGAAGGCTACATCATCGTTTCCGCAAGGTCGGTGGATCGAGGAGCTCAGGACACGTTGCGTGTGCTATCTGTTCGGCAAACGACAACCAAGCTTACTTCGCAGCAGACTGATATGTTTATATCAAGCCTTCGTGCTTGATTTTCCGACAAATGCAGCTTGATCTACGACAGCAGATTTTGAAATTGCAAAACTCAGGGCTGTACACAAGAACAGGTTACCGGATTAACCCTTCAACCCAAACTTACTGCCGCGAGGTTTTGGATTTAGCGCTTGGTTTTCGCGGCCACTGTGGGCAAAAACCTTCTGAGATTCTTAATCTCGTGTCTTTGGGAACTTGAGTTCTCGCCTCAACGGCTGGATGCTTCAACATGTCATGCAGCAACAAGTTCCCAAAACTTGCACTGACCATGAGCAGAGGGATCTCCACAAAAAATTGGCTTTGTCGAAACTGTTGTCACCGGGCCTTTGAAGCTGTCAGCCGTGCCACTTGCCGTGTCAGTTTTAGGGCTTCAAAGGTTCATAGCTATGCGCCTTTGATTTCTCTTGCCTTGCGCGCGCTGGTACAAGCGCAAGGCCAGAATCTTCAGGCTGTTAGGGTTTCGGGTTGTCCTGCTCTGGGTTTCGGGCATAACTTAGGGTTTGGGTTCTTCAGATTTGTTTTGAGCATGCGATTGTCCGGCTTTTGGAACTCTAGGTCCAAGTTGTGAAGCAGGAACAGCTATTAAGAAGTGTCACGTAGAAGCATGACAGAAGCAAGAGGAGGAGACAGAGGGGAACCTGCAGCATTCTCTTCATCCAGCAAGGCTTTCCGTAGGTCTGGTGCCGCACTGAACGATGTTTGTTGCTCTGTCCGGTGCTTTGTAAAGACTTACGTGGGTGGTTGTCAAAATTATGGTCCCTTTTTGGATACCCTATTATAATGCAGCACCTAATATTTAGGGTAACCAAAAAGAGACCTTAATTTTGACAACTACCCACGTGACATTCCACCGAAACGTTTCTACTGGCCCTTCCTCGGACGCGACCGCGATCTCCGATTTCGGTGGCGGCGGTCGCGGCTGTCCCTTGCAGATGAAAGACGGTTCTATATTACATGTGTATATATATATATGTATATACTTATTGGTTCAACAAATAAATACATGCTGATATATATACATATATATATATACATACACGCACACATACATCCATATCTTTATACCTATACCTATACCTGTGTCTTTATGCCTTCGGGCTCGGCCACGTGGACTCCTTGAGCTCCTCATCTTCCCATCGCTCGTCAGATTTCGTCCGGCTGCTAGGGTGCAACGTAGGTATAAATACAGATATGCACATAGAGATATGGATATATATATATATATATGTAAAAATATGTACATCTGATCTATATGTATATCTTTATATGGTCTGTATGCAGGTAGGAAGTCTAGAGCCAAGGGGTTCGGGCCGTCAGATGCAGCTCTGCCAAAGACCTGGTGAGTCTAACCGAGCTCTGACTATTCACTAAGAGATCAGGGTTTAGGGTCTAGGGTGCGGCTTTGTTCTACTTCCTCTATTTCCGCATGATTAGATGATCTGACTCCGGTTCTGGAAGAGCTGCTTGCGAAAAAAACATCTTTGGGGGCTTTAGGCGAGGCCTCGGCACCTACTTTGTCTCTTTTTTCAATCCAGGCTTCGTGTCTTCTTCTCCAGGCTCGCAGGGGCCTTGGGCCGAAATTTCATGGGGCCGAGCATGCGATCATCCGCAGGCATTCACGCTCCCGGTGTGTGCTCCCAGTCGGCACCGCACCAGCACAGGTGCCATCAGCCAAGAGATTGGGACCGGAACACCTGAAGCCGTTCAGGACCCAAACGTTTCCCAACTTGCAGGCTTGGCACTTACCGCTCACCTCGCCACGCAGCCCACCGGCCGTGTCGCAAGGCACAAAAGGTTCCGAGTGTCACAACTGCAGCAGAGCTCGAGGAGATGGATCCTTGCAGCTGACGTGGCATGTACTGATGCACCGCACGTCGCAACAACCCTCCTGACTTTATCATCTCCCCTGTTGCGATAGACAACATCCGTTCGCGTCTCTTTCCTTCAATCGCGTCCTGCAGGATCACCGCTTGGAGCTATCAAGTGTTGATGTAGATAGAGAGCGGAGACCTCGGAAGAGAGAGAACACCAACAGGTCGAAACCCTGAACACCTTGCCTGACAAATCTGTTTTCGTGCCTCCCTGAGGTCTGACATCAGCTTGGCATCTTTGGATGGGTTTCTCGACCCGTGGACAGATTCGTTCCACACTCATCAAGGTGCTTGAAGCTCTAAGCGGCCGGCGTTGCTGAAAACGGTTGACCCAAGAATCAGCTGCAGCAGAAATGTAGATCCATACAGTCGTTCCAACCTTGGCTAGGCTTGGTCGTTAACAGTATAGATACTCAGACAAAAACTATCAGGGGCCTCAAATGGTGGCATCAAGCATGTGGTGTATGAAGATCCTTGATAATTCAGGCTCTTTGTCCCACCTGAGGAGCCCTTTGAACACTATCCATGCAAGATTTCAGGCAGTTTTAAATGCAAAACATGTGACAGGGTCCCGCAGCAGAAGAAGAGTACCTTAGTGGCTGAGTACCCTAGCCCAAAAAAGGTTAAACTTTTCAGTTATGGTAGGATTATATAGAACCCAAAAGGCTAAAGGATACCTACTCAACTAATACTAACACAAATACTAATGCTAATAACTAACAGCTACAAAGGTACCGTGTCTGTGAATAGTCTTGCAGGTCGCTCACCAGCGCGGAGGAGCGAAGCCGCCAAGAGGCGATGGACTTCGCCAGCCTCTCCGTAGGGATGCCATGCGAAGAAAGCTACAGTGCCCTACAGTCATAATACCATTATTATTACTACTACGGTTAATATTTTCATTATCACTGTAAACTTACATCGAAACCCAAGTCGACAAACTCCAGACCAAAAACGAAGCACGAAAAAAATCCATCCGGGGCGGCCTGCAGCTGCGGCAAGCTGACGGAGCATCCCGAAATCACCCCGCAGAATTTTTTCAGCTCTTCTTGAAGCTCTTCCAGGGATTGCGATTGACTGACCTCTGCAGGCGCAGTCTGGTATCACGGCATCGCTCCAGGCAAACTTGCTAGACCTTCTTGACACATTCCCAATGCAAGTGAAGATGTGCTCCTAGCCACACAGTTTTAGCGAACTTGAGGCACACAGCACGATCTACAGGTCACACGTGCTTGCGCCTTTGCCCACAAGGCAGTCGCAGCAGCTGTAAGCCCACCAGAGGCCAGCAAGAGAAATATCACTGCCCAGGGAGGTCGCCTCAGCGCGAGATGTGCAGGGTTGGAGGTGGCTCGAAGAATGTTATCTATCGTAGCATGCTATAGTCCTCTGTACAAGTATAGTGCGCAATGCCGTAAGCCATCTGGATTTGTAGAACTAGGTTTGCCTTATATGTGCTTTTCGGATCACATTGCCGCATTGCAACCGCCATTTGCCTCTCCTCATACACTTTTCTGGCACGAACCTGCCTGCAGCTTTTCGCTCCGAACTGTGCTCTCTCCAAACGCATCTGGTCCTGCCCGCCAGTTTGCTACAGGTGGTCAACTGCTAAGTCTGCTAAGTTGTTTCTACATGTCTTTCCAGTGGTGCTCCAGCGGAGTCTTCGAGTGTCCAGCACTGGGCCCAGCAAAGCGGTGGTCTATCCATATGCTTCGACCAGGATGCAAGTTCCCCTCCAAGTCCACGCAAGCATTGACTCCCTTCGCAGTTGGATGCTGACACCCGTGTCATCTCGTTGGATATTTGGGCTCACCTCCCAAGAGGTTGACTCGTGCACGGATTCGCCGTAGCATCCACGTCGGCTTTTCGCTTGCTCGCACAACCAGATCTGTGGCCCACGGTTCTTTTACATAATTCTGTGTGTCGAACCATCGCCTGCATGCTCGTTCGGTTGGGAGCGGCGCTCGCTCCCGGGTGTGAGCGAGGACACGGTCTTGTCTGCCACTTCAGGATGTTGCCTCTGCCCGAACCACAGGTTCCAACCCTCACCCGTCTCGAACCTCCTGATTCTAGTAACTCCCTGAAACCAAGACGGGAGGCCGGCCGTGTGGACTTCTTCTTCTTCTTCTTGCTCTTTCTTCCATCCGAGAGAAACGATGCATCGGCGAGCTCGCGAGTTTCGAGGTGCTTGTTCTTTTCACAGGAAAGCAGGAGATCATCGACTTAGGGCTTTCAACACCGTCGCGCCTGGCTGCGGCAAGCCAATCGGTTCGCAACTGCGACTCCAAAAAGGGTTCCAGACTGTAGTTATATGGTAGTTATATAGTAGTTATATCGTAGTATAACATCAAACTTTCTGATGAATGGGAAGCAGCAGCAGCAGCAGCAGCAGAGGAATGAAGCGAGAAGAAAGAGAGCTTTTAGGATGCCCTGTTGTTGTAACCGCAGCCGAGGCAGGCACTGGCTCTCAGCAGACGCAAAGAGCTGCAGCTCCGCTGCGCTCTGCTGGATCTCCTCTCTTTTGGGAGTTTCGGCTTTAAGGTTCAGAATTTTAGGGTTTAGGGTTTTAGGGTTTTTTGTGGGTTTGTGTGTGTGTGTGTGAAGAAGTGCTATGTGCAGGCCTGGCGCTCCGGTCTTCGTTGCGCCTCCAACTGGATACCAGGCTTTCTTTCCTCCTGGAAGCTCCAGGGCACCAGGATAATATAGGGGCCTTAATGATTAGAATAGGGTTGTGGGGCCATTATACCATAATTACAATAAGGAGCCTTCAAACTAGGATTGGAAGTTATTTACGGCGCAGTCGGTGCATTGTCATCATCCGGAGAAGTCTGCGCACCCCACGTCTAGCACGATAGCCCAATTACCTGCTCGCCCTGGCCTGCTTCACAGCTTCCTGACGCCCTACTTTGGTGCCACGGCGGCGTCGATCCAACTCCTATCATGGAACGGAGCGGCAAGAACCACCATGCCCGCAACCCGGTACTCAGTACTCGGATTTGCGCTTAGCTGTGCAGCTCGGTCCTCATCCCACCATGCCTGGTCTTGCCTGCTGCCTCGATGGCGATGCACGATAACAAACACGAGCACAAGCGCGGAGCCCAAGGCCGTCCAAAAGGGGTTTATCATGAACGAACGGCAGTTACAGGGAAAAGCTGCAAGCCGGGTGCTGTATCGCAGAGGTCGCCCGCACAAACAGCTCTTCGGCAGCAGCTGTTGGTGCCTGCTGTGCGGCAGGGATGATGCTTCTATCCAGAGCGAATGCTCGCAACAGTCTGAGTCCACGGCACAACTACTCTTCGGGAGGCAGAAGCCAGCATTGCTTTGCCACATCGTACTTTTCTAGCGCATATGCTCCACTAGCAACCATTGTGCAATGATCTGCTGAATGCAACCTTCTGTTCGTGGACATGGAGAGACCTGCAGCAACATGCATCCAAGAAATCATCCTGTGTTCTGTGCCACCTTCATGACCAACTTGAGCAAACATTTCCAGCAATTCTATCCTCTGCATGGCAGGATTCCTTTTTCAAGACAGCTTCACGCAAATAAGCACGTGCGTCCAGAACTCATCCATGGTTGAAGAGGGCATGGCGGAATCCCTCGGTGGACACATTGGAAACACGATCAGGAGTTGCCACGCCAAAGGTCACGGGTGTCTCGCTTCAGACAATCAATAGCCTGTTTACTCTTGGCTCCCAGGTGTTCAAAGCTCCTACATGGGAGTTTCCGAAAATTAGGGGTTTGGGGGTCCTTATAACAAGGATCCTACTATTTAGGGCACTATACTAGGGTCCCCCATTTTCGGAAACTCCCACATCTGTATTTACCTGTGTCTTCTGCTCCCTGCCCTTGCGTCTCTTGGGTTGCCTTTGGCTTAGGAAGGCGATCTTCTTTTACGGTTCAGTAGGGGGTCCTGCCCAACTTCTCCACTGTGACTTGTTGCACCAATCCCGATGAATGCTTCAACTTTTCGGCTTTTCTTCGAGCTGATTGTCCTGCAAGGCTTACCAGCCAACATCTTCTTAGCCACGACGCCGCTTGTCTGGTTTTGAGGGAAAGGCTCAACGTCTTCGTCAACTCTCGAAGGGTCTAGCATGCAGTGTCAAAGGTATAGGTACGATGTCTATGTTGTCCCTGCTTGACACAAAGAGCGTGGACCGAGAAACCGAGATTGAAAAACTTGCAGCTTCCCCGCGCTGCGAAAAGAGTCCTGGGTCTTAATACTTCTCCTCACCGGCTTAAGTGCACGAAAACGTGCCAGAGATTAAGCTCCATCTACTCTTACAGTTCAAGCTTCACGGCCGAAGGCTCTAGAAGTTTTCCATTTTCAACGAGAAGCAAAGGCTGTTGGGTAGTTACCAACTCGCGCTCTAGCTCTCCCCGGCTATCCCTCTATCTTGTTATGTACTGCTCCCTCAGTTCCTAGCACCACTAGAGACCGAGAAGCTCGTTGATGCCCGTGGAGAAGTAAATGATGCTCCCAATTCGAGACGCCCTTTCCAAGGCACCTGCCAAGTGCAACCGAAGTGTCTGACCAGCTATCAGCAAAGTCCCGTCCTTGCACCAAATAAAGCGCCCAGTACTCGGTTGTCAATGGCAGAAGGAATGTCACCACCAAGTATCCACCCCGCGAAGTCACCATGGCCTTAGCTGAACTCGCCCTTCGCTGCCACTATTAGACAAATAGATAGTGTACACATTATACGTACATATATATATATATATGTAGAGTGTGAGTTCAAGGAGCTCCCAAAGTAATTGCCCTCTCATAGCCTTTGAGGCTTGGCTTGTACCACTTGCCAAATTGGCCCCGTTGGTGCTTGAAGTAGCGCTCGAAACCTTGCCGGCGAAAAAGATGCGAACTCTGTAGTCTGCCCAGAAGCAGTCAGCAGTGGGCATGCTGAGCTATCGGCGTACTCGGATATTGAGGGAAACGCAATTGAATCGTATTCCGCTTGTCGCCTTACGTTGGGAATCCATTAGCCTCTAAGGGCATGCGCAGGCTCAAAAAGCCAACAAACAGCAGAAACAAACGTACATCTCACAATGCTTGGAGTCGGTACCGCCTCTCTCGTGTATCCGGGTGGCCATGTTTCGAAGTTCACTTGTCACGTCTCCACGATGAAGAATCGTGCACTGCTCTTCCACGCCTGCGTTCTCAACTTCTTAGCTTCCTGCTTTGTGCAGGAACCTGAGGCTGCCAAGATGCCGTTCAGGATGGCATTCTCCCGGCAAAGCTTGGCAAGTCCGAGGGTGTCTTCTAGAAGCACCACCTCTTCCGCACCAGCCCTGGCACACCTGATGCCCCATTGTCCTGCTTGCGCCCAAGCGTCCAGAACAGTACCTCATGGGATCGGTCGCTACAGCAGGACAACCCCAGGCATGATCCGAGCTTTTCACCTTGTGTTTTTTCGACCCCTAGCTTCACCTTGCGGCCCAGTATGCCATAGTCCTAGATGTCCTCCCGAATGCAAACCTGAAGTAAAACGCCGCTGTCTGCGCAAGCTGCCTCAGCCTTCACTTTCATCCTCCACAGTCCACACCCGAGCATGTGCTACCCTGCTGACAGCGACCGCCCTCAACCCACTCAGCAATGTGACCACACCTCTTGACACCACCCATCTCTCCAACCCTTTGCCTTTGGCAGCGGCAGCCAGAAATGAGGAACCCGGTTGGATGGAGAAAACACTTAAAGCTGCAATCAGTTTCAAAAGAACCTGCGGACTTCCCGGCCCGGCCCTGCCGGTAAAGGAGCAAAAGTGTCTCAGGTTATGTTGTATTGCATTACAGTTATCTCATCTTATCATTCTTCCTATATTGTACGATCTACGGTCTAAAAGGGTTTAGGACTACCTTATGGCTCGCTTCGGAGTTGCTTCGGAGTTGACTTGGAAATGCCGATTCATCAGGCTTTAGTCCTTCTTGGATTCTGGTCTTTGCTGGTTGACGGGATGCTGATGCGACAGGTCTCGTAGCTTTTCTGCACATCGAGTGCTCAGGAGAAAACCCGAACTACTGTGCAGTAGACGGCCCATATTACGATGCACCCCCTAAGCCCCGCCCTAAGTCCAATCTGCGAGCTAAATGAGTGGCAGAACCAAGGCCAGGAAGCCTTGGCCGAAGCATGCCGTCAGTTCTCTCCTCATCTTTTCCAGTCCATAGTTCCAGTGGCCCACCAAAACTCCCTGTAAAACATCAATGTCGAAATACAGTTGGCTGCTGCCTTCGCCTTCTTCTACACGCACCTCAGTGCGATCCGAGAATCTCTGTCTTGCGAACGCCTCTCGGCAAAATCCTGAGGGCAAGACTTTTGAGCTGTCGCCTCGCGTGATGCTGGTGGTAAACTCCGAACCTTCCTGTGCCCACTTCTCTTTCTTTGCAGTCATTCGATGAACCGTCCTCAGTTTCTTTTCCGACCCTTGTCACGCTGCAACTGCACGCCGCGAAACAAAACATGACGGCAAAAGCGTTCTAATGAAGTCGGAAATCAACTGTCGAAGCTTTCCAATCCATCGGGTGAGCTCCTCCTGAACCACGAGCTCCAGCTTTGCAGATCCCACCGACTCGAAAATCACAACGGCAGACGTGCCAAAGCGGTCGACAATGACACCTGCGATCCAATGCAAAGTTGATCTGTTTTCCTAAGATAATTATAATACTAATAGCAATCATAGGAATAATGACAATAGTAATAACAATAACAAGACATGTAATAATGACAACACTACTAAAAAATAATAATAATAGCAATAAGACTAATAGTTATAAGGGCTGGGAAGCCGACCTGGAAGCCCGTCTTGTTCCCCGTGCACCGCACGGCAGAAGCTCCCTCCGCCAAGTTGATCACGCGCTGCAAAAGCCTTGCGCAAGCGGACTTGGAGCAGCTCCTGACATATCATCGTAGGGTTCAGGGTTTACAGCTAAGGTAGGGTTCAGGATCTAGAGCTGAGGTAGAGTTTAGGGTTTAGGTGGTTCAGGGCTAAGGGTTTCGGTTTTGGGTTTAGTGTTTAGGGGCCGCTCGTTGCGCCGATTCGTTTCTGGCAGTCTCCTGCGTCACCTCCATGCCGGGGGACAGGCCTTCCATCCGACGGAGCACGATTGAGGCCTGCCTGCAGAAAGGGAACTTCGCCAGCACTTCAGATTCTTGTGTCTTTCCTTGCGCCTGAACTTGGAGGCTGAAGCCACCCCGCCTGTTGAGCACTCCCACTCCTAACTCCGTCGCCCCATCCGAGCTAATTATGTCCACCTCAGAGAAGCTCCAGACGGGCCAAAGGCTGAGCTTGAGTCCATCGCTTCAGTGCCTGAGGTTGGTACCAATGTGCCAGCATCGATGCCGTTCAAGTCGCCGATGTTGCTAACTTCATCATCATAGATCCATGGGTGACCCATGTTAAGTGCCAGCTGACGCGGCAAGGCCTGACCGCTCTTCTGGGTTCTTGGGATTTAATTCCAGCTGCCAGAATATGGAGACAATATTATTTGCTAGAGATCCCTAGTATGGTAACTTAAATTAAACTCCTTAACAAGAGCCCAGTCTTATGGAGCTCTTCGGAAAGGCGGTTTTGCCCGCATCTCTTGCAGTGTCTTTCTTCCCCCGGACTCGCCTCTTTCAGTCGCGCCACCGGCCGGAGCGTCTCTGGGGCTCTGCTTCTGCTCCCTGCGTGCGGTCATGATACTAATAACAATATCAGTAACAATGCCAATAATAATAAACAATAATAATGATCATAATCTGCATTATCGTAATAACAATAATGCTACGGTTGATGATACAAATCCTGCATTATCCATAATAAGGAATGTACCATAATTCCCATAGTCTAGGGTCCTCAAGGCAATGCAGGATTCATATCATCAACCGTAGTAGCAGTAGTACTACTAACAATATAGCAGTACTAATAATAATAAGAATCATAATAATAACGAGACTTCAGAGAGAAGAAATAAACAGCGCACGCCTTCGGCGCGCATGGCAAAGGACCGAGTCGATCTCCAGGTCCTGCGCGGTTTTGCCAGTAAGCTACCCTACACCCTAAACCTTTATTGGAACGGGCGGATTCTGTCCTTCCCCAAAGCCTGGCAAGCTCCTGGAGGCTGGGACGGAGACCCGCCGCCATCTTCGGACGCTTCAGAGAGAAAGAAGACTCTGCATACTGGCTGGCTTGCAACTTAATTCCTACTTTTGACATCCGCCGATCTTTACTTTAGCTTTCGGACGGGAGAATCTTTCGGCTCGTCTTTGAGCCGAAGCAAGTTGGCCAGTGCCCATTTTGGCCCTACACAGGCTGGGTTCAGTGAGCCACTCTGCGACCGTGTCAACAGCTGAGCAGCCTTTGCACTCTCAGCTTTTCCCCCCATGATGCCTCCTTCAGTGAAACGCAGACTGGACAAACTCGAAGCGGATTGTTGGACGTGCATTCTCGCCAACGGATGAACTCAAAGCCTGTGCTCAATGTATCGCTCACATCGCGGTTCTCCAGACAAGGAATGTTGTGGCGGGCAATTCTGTGCCATCTTCTCATCCTCCATCGTCGTGTCTGGACAGAGGCCGAATCTGTATCGAGGTGACGTGATGCACGCTCACAATGCAGCTCTTTCTCTGGTGCAGAGAAAGAGCTTGGTCAACCTAGCCTGCTATGCCATCGGTGAAGCGAAGCAACAGTTCATCTTCTTGGAGACAATATCAGAAGCTGACATGTGTCATGATTGGCAGATGATCCGAAACATCACTGTACATGAGGTGTGCAGACACCTTTGTGCTGTGTTCTGGAGCCAGCATGTACGCGTAGTCGACGGTCGTGCCTGTCCAGTGTGTAAATGGTGGTGCAGTGCCTCGCCAATTCCGCTCTGCGGCAATGTCGTAAGCACCTTCAATGAACGTATCCTACAAAAAGAAGCCGAAGCAGGGTCAACAGAAACGAAGGGTAAAACTTTCTGGGACCTTCGCTTCAAACTTCTCCCTCGGGATGCCAAGTCACAAACCCAGCCCTGTGAAGTGAGGAGCTCTGCGACTCCGTCGCCCTCCGGCTCCCCAATGGAACGAAGACCCGCAGAGACGACCGACCACTCCTCGGAAGAGTAGTCGCCACGTCGTGCCTTCAGGATACTGGCTTTCTGCAAGAAGGCTGAAACTCCAGCCACATTTTACGATAGGCCCTGGCTACGTGACCTCTTTGCATAATTCGCTAGTGTCGGCACTTGGGCCTGCTCTAGACACATACACTGAAAAACTGAAAAAGCAGAAGATGGTATTAAGGATCAAGAGAAGCACCTGGTTGAAATCAGCCACCATCAGTGTACACCGGCTGTCGCTGGGGGTGTTGCTGGAACAATGGCGCAGAAGCAGCTCAGCCTCTGCTTTCCGGACCCCCTTGTCGTTCACCGTGAAGTTCTGTCATGTGGGTGGTTGTCAAAATCATGGTCCCTTTGTGGGTACCCTAAACATCAGGTGCCGAATCATAATCGGGACCCAAAAAGGGACCATAATTTTGACAACGTTTAGAACACGGGCGCACACACGCAGGCATAAGCTCCAACAAGAGTTCGCAAGTAAAGAAACTCTGTCCTGGTGATGGAAGTGCGTCGCGCAAATAGTCACCTCGTTGATTCAGCCAAAGCGAACTGACTGATTTCGGCACCCCATTCATCCCCATTCGCTCAATTTTCAGACACCAAGCGGCAATGAGGCTGCCGTGGCCAGGATCTCTCCTGTCGGCATCAGCCTCCAGGCGGAGGGAGACGAGCAGTGCAGCGCGATCTTCTGGCATCCGGAAATCATGCCTCGGCTTCTCAACCCCGCAAAGGCCAAGGCCACTGCTAATACAAAGCTCCCTGATATATGGGGCCTTAGTAAATTAGAATACGATTTTGGTGCAATTATACTATCCTTATAATAAGGATTTTTGGGCCCATTGTACTATACTTAAATTCAGGACACCCAAAAAAGTAGTGGTAATTAAGAGGAAGTGTGTGGTGTATTTAATGAAGAGAAAACAAAGGAAGGAAATGGATGCGTGTTTCTCTTCATTAAATTCACAACACACCCAAAAGACCTAAATTTTAGTACTAAATTCATGCATCATTTCACTCTAATTAATGACTGACGTGCATTTCTCGGTGGCTCTTGTGTCATGGAATCTTAAGAGTCTAGCTGGCCCGAGATACTGTGAGTCCAGGCTGGCCTCCGACACCGCTACCACGGTCAATCTGCTGCAAAGCAGCGTAGAGCTGAAACAGCTGCTTCTCAGCTGAGTCTGATACCTCAAATGAAAAAAACATCTGGGCTGACACCTCAAATTTTCAATTCTGGGCTGACAGCGTTCTTGCTTGTTTCGAGCCGGTAGCCGAGAGGCCCGAGTTCCTGTAGACCCGTCTCCAAAGCGCGCATCTCTTCAGCCGGGAAAGTGGATCTCCAGGGTTCCCACCACCAACTTTGGGCAGGCCCGCGTGGCATCTGACAGGAAAGCTCGACAGAGAGGCATCGATTAAGCCCTGGGCAATGCCTGGCCTCTTGAAGCACCAGCACATCTGCATTGCACGGCGCCAACACCTTGATCACATCTGCAGCTCGTTGGGGAGTCTGCCCGTCAATGCCACAGAGGCAATTGAGATTCCATTGAACTATCCTGCATTCAACTTCGTGCTTCAGCTCATGCTGGCACGGCCCCTTTTGGCATTTTGCCAACCCCGGTGTCCTCAAAGCCATACCGCTGGGGCTGCTCGCTGGCACCACATGACCCTTCTTCGCTTCGCTGCGGACCTGCTTGGTGTAGAGCTCTTTCATCTCCTTCGCCTCCGGGGGGCAATCGATGCATCGCGAAACACACTTCTCTGTCGAACGGCCATGTAGATGCCGCGAGCCTGACCGACGAGTCTCGGGTCGGCCAGGGCCTTGTGAATGTAGATGCTGCGCCCATGTGCGGGAGGCGGTGCAAGCGAGCTCGAGGCCTGTTCGACGAGGGCATTCTCACGACATTCGCTGTAGCAAGTTTAGACATCTCTCCTTTGCTGTGGGCATGAGGGTACAGCCCATTCACGCGCACCATGAACCACGCATGATGTTAATCAATCATCCGTTGAAGTTGAAGAAGTCTCTGACGGTATTGATCAGTACTATCATTGATTCGTGATGCATGAGACAACCTTGTCTGAAGAAACGCGACAACCGGCTTTCGGTACATCCTACAGTACTGTCTCACTAGCTCCTTGTCTTACAATGACTGCTGCACATGACTGAACTGCTCTAGCAAGCTGGCTTTTGCAAACATGGCGGGTAGAACGAGTGGCCATATCAAGCTGACGAGCTGAAAGAATCGCATGCATGAAGCTCTTGTTCAAGCGGCCTGCCCGATGAGATGACAAGCAAGCTGTGCATCTTTTTCGCACGGCGGATTGCACAGCATGCAACAGCACACAGAAGGTTCACCATGCCAGCAAGCTCTTACAATTAATGCTCTTAGGTTAACGGATATGTGATGGCTAATGAGGCTAATGGCCCTGACATATAGGTAAGAACTAGCAAGCGGTTGCTTCTTACCTGAGCATGCACCCCTTCACGCTTTGCCTGCTGAACCTGCAGCTGGCACACTTGCAGCAACAGTGCTGCGCATCGCAGCAACATGCGATCCTGCCGCATCCATGTGGTGTCTCGGATGCTCCAATGTCCTTCCTGCAAAGAACTGCGATGGTGGTCTTCAACAAAAACGCACTAGACGTGATGCCTGAGGTCAGCGACGACCTCCTGCAGAACCATGAGAGTAGCGGCACTTATCGCCTGCGCTTCAGGAAGCGGACTTTGAGTGGCACCATCTTGCACAATCCATCCCAGGAGCCGCGATTGCATTCGCCCTTCCGGAAATCACCACCTGAGATGGGGCACCCTGCCACGCAGGGGGCTGTTTAGGCAAGGTTTGCGTAGTGTATATCTTCTCACGACCCTGCGCACATCCGAAGCGTGTGCAGCATGTTTCCTGGGTCTCACTTTGAGTGGTCGACCGTTTCCCTCGCAAGCACAAAACCGGCTAGAGTGGCTAGAGGCAGAAAGAGCAGTGCATCTTTGTTCCTTTAGTCGCTTGGCGTGTCCGCATCTTTAAGAGCCAGTGCAGGGGCAGAAAAAACGCCGCAGATGCTGCTTTGCACGTTTGGACTGGAGCCAACTGAGATCCTCACACATTTCTCGAAAGCCTTCTTTGCCCTTGTTTGGACAGTCCCGAGCCAGATGGCCTGACCTCGTCCGGAGAGGCCGAAGACCAAGAGAGCGCAACCCTCACAGAGCTGAGGCCGCAGCTCGCCACAGCAATAACATTCGCCGCCACCTCCACCTCCGCCTCCACCCCGTCTCCGGCCATTCTCACCTTTCCCAACCAAAAGGAAGAGAGTGCAGAGCCCCTCAGCCCTCGCCACTTTGACCCTCCGAGGCCTCTATCTCTCGATCGAGATCTCCCCCTCTCTGCTCTGTCGTCCTTCTCGGGCGGTGGAGCAGGAGGTGCTGTGTGTGCAGGCGGCGGTGCTGGAGCTCCAAGATGTGGCGGGTGCGGATACGGATGGTAGCCTGCACAGCTGGAAAGTTTGAGCCGCAGAGACTTGGATTCAGCATCAAAGGCCTGGCGGTGCGGCACAGCCCGGGGCTGGGTAGCCCGGTGGATAGTAGCCGGCCGGAGGCGGTGCGTAACCGGCATAGCCTGGCAACAGCACAAGTCCCCAAAAGGCTGTGCTGGGCTTCTTTGGGCCTGGCGGTGGTGCGTGTGCAGGGTATCCGTGAGGCGGATAGCTCGGTGGTGCATAGCCTGGCGGCGGGTAGCCTTGGCTCAGTTTTAAAAAGAAGGGAAGATGAGAAAGCAGACATGTTGTCCAAGGCCGGCACCGGGAGGTCCATGCTGCGGCGGTGCATGATATTGGACTGGCTCACCTGTCTAAGTCGACGTGTCCGTTCCAGTGACATGCAGTAATGCCTGCCCAAGCCTGTCCTGGGGGTGGATGGTGAGGTGCTCCGTGCGGTACTCCGTGCGGCGCTCCGGGTGCTCCTGGGGGCTGAGGTTGTCCTCACAAGCAGCACGCAATGCGCATGCAATGCACGAAAGCACATGACCTCCGCTGCTTCTGTCTCACGGGCCTGGCACGGCATAGGCCGGCGGTGCGCTTGCTTGTCCGGGATGTGGGACGGGCTGTGGATGTGGATGTGGTGGGTGTTGTGGATAAGCTTGCGCCTGACAAAACTGGCAAGGAATGAGCCACATTGATCTAGGTTGATCTCACCTTTCGTTACTGTACTCGGATGCAGTTTCGGCCCTGGTTCATCGGTGCGTACCGCACAACTCTAGATTCTGAAGTGCTTCTTGTATGAAATCCTCAGCATGATTGCCTTCATGCAGGCTGATACGACCATAGGTGTAAGTTCCTGAACCGTTCTGGCACATTCTGTTGGAATATCGATACGTTCAGAGATGCACGTCGCTCATACTTACCGTGTTGACCTTCCGCGGCTTTCCCAAACTTGTAGTCAAGAGGAGGAACACAGGGCATGATTGAGATCAAGGTCGACAAGTGCATGAACAGGCTATCCGAGCAGCAATCTCTTGCATGCCTACTAATAACAGTCGACGGAAGTCTGCTTGCCATCACCCGCCTGAGGCGCAGGTTGCTGTGGCTGTGGAGGTTGAGATCCAGCCTGCATTCACGCCGCGGTCAACTGGCCGGTGAGGGCTTGCCACGAATGGACATGTGCACTGCTATCCACGAGTTGAATATGAAGCATGATGAATCTTGCATTCGAAGGCTGTGAAGGAGAGACCGTGTTGCCTGTCGCTGCTGCCATCCTTCCAACTCGCGAGGCTGCGTCCAAAACGACTCTGTGGTCGCCTGAACAGGGAAATGTCTCGCTCCCACCGAGCAAGCGGAGGAGATGGCATCTGTCTGCATCTGGGGCATTCCTTTCTCCGATTTTAAAGGTGGGTGTTGTTGCATGTGCTAGGTCCCTGCCACTACGAACTTTAGTACTCATGAGACAAACGCTGCCGTGGCAGACCGGCACGTTGAAAAAATGGCTCCAGTTGCTTGAAGGTCCGCAGATGCAGACTGCTATTCTAGCCATGGGTCCATGATTTCATAGTTGCCTCTTTGCTTTGTTGCAGACGCTCTTGGACGTTGTGAAGACACGTTTTCCGATGCTCGGAGGCTGCTTGGATCACTCCGGGTGGTGGCCTAGGTGCATCATGTACCTTATTTTGGGGTCCTGATAAAAAGGATCCTACTATGTAGCGTACCATATTAGGGCCCCTTTGTTCATTATCATATTCCTTACTTTCTTGCTGTTGGGGCTTTGTGGTGATCAGAACCTGCATAGAGACGTAAGCACCCGCACTGATGTTTATCTGCTGCTCCAAACCCGTGTGCTAACATCTCCTTAGAAACCCAAGAGACCCCAAGATTGTGATCAAAGATAGTTCTTTGCAGACTATGACTCACATTGCCCAAGCCCTTTCGTGTGTGTTGGTCGTACCTGGGATTCTTTGTCTGCGGCTGGTGTTCTATGCCCCTTCGGCCACGTCCCAACAGCAAACATGGCAGTAAGAATAAGTAGACCAAGCAATCCATCCGGCATCAACGCTGCTTGCACTACTGCAGCACTGCCTCGTTGTAGTAGTATACGCCTTGTGCACACTTGTTCACCTGCCACGGCCTGGGCAATACTTTACTCGGACACGATGGGTGCACGTTGAAGCACAGCCGCAGCGAGAAACTGTGCGCTGCGCGGTTCCCGGTATATTATCTCGGGCATCGCATGAGATGACCTGGAGCTCAACGGGCGCAGCAATGCTGCATTCGGAACATTCAGGCGGTCCGAACGCCTGTGGCTGAGGACTTGCCACAACGTCCTATCTACTCATAGTCACATAGTCCCAGCCCAAGACTGCCAAACTGCAAGTCTGAGCCAACAGAGCCACGATTTCGTACTGCAACAAAGGCAATGGCACTTCTGGCACCCACAAGACCACAAAGGAATGACAGACGCACAAAAGCTGCTTTTTCTGCAGGGTTGCTGAGTAGCGGCCACGACGAGTGCTGCTTGTACAGCTGTTCTGCCATCGCTGTGAACAGCTACTTGCATCACACGCAGCGAATGTACAAGCGCTTCCGGCAGCTCACGCATATGCGCGGTGCCAGGCTTCACACATCCTTCTATTTACTCAAGGCTATGCTGTCTCATATGGTGGAAGCAATGAAAGCAATGAAACTGCTAGCAAATGCTGCTAGTACGGGCCCTCACAAGACCCTGAAACACTTGTGATGGCAATCCAGTACTCTACGATCTGCTTTGTCTATTCTGTATGTGGCTTCCTCCATTGCGCAAGTGCAACAAGCAGGCTCCTCTCAACCATACGGCTCCGAGCACGTGCTCGCAAGAGAAATCAAGAGCCTGTGGCAGGCCTAAAGGGTGCCTTAGAATGGCAGCGCATCGCACAACATGCGCCTTGCGCGCGTGCGAGGCGAAAAGACAGAGTGGGACTTAAAAATTCATCGAGCTTTTTGAGCAGCTTCTGGAGATGGCATGCTCCTGCCAAGATCACCACAACCCCACAAAAAAGGGCCCTGCTGGAGGCTGGACGGGAAGCTTATGTTGGGCCAGGGTCTGGAAAACAGCGAGGCGGTGAGGCACTCAAACCAGCTGATCACCATATTATATTGCATATTTATATTACATATTATATATTGTATATTATACGTTGTATATCGTATATTATATATTGTACTATATATTATACCCTCTGCAACTTAGAGTCAGGCGGTGACGGCAGTGGGCTGAGGAGCGGGCGTTGGCTTCTGCACCGAGGCGCGTGAAGGTGAACAGCCTGGGAAGGGCCACGGGCCCGCTGGTTTCAGTCCAGCTCCACTTGGGAGTTTCCGAAAATTAGGGGTTACCTTGGTTTGGGGTCCTTACAACAAGGATCCTACTAATAATTTACGGTACTATATTAGGGTCCCGTATTTTCGGAAGCTCCCACTTGAATGCTCGCACTGCTCTCGTGCTGCACCTGCCCCTCGGAGCTTCTTCTTCTGGCGGTCCGTAGCCGCTCTTCCTGCGACGGCAACTTGACATCGTGCGATGGACGATCCATCGTTTTGACTCTACGATCCAGACATGGCACACTCTCTTTCAAAATCGGGGTCCTAAGCTCATCCTTGAAGCCTCAGCTGGCATGGGTGGAGGAGAGGTGCTATCTGTTTCAATGCCCGAGTCAGCGGCGTTGCTGCACGTCCTCGCTAGAGTTCTTCATTACCTGGCAAGACATCCTCACTCGTTGCGATAAGTGCGATTTTTCCCAAAACCGCGTGAGAACACTGTGCGGTGCTTACACTATGGATCGCTATCCACGGCAGGCGTGCGCGGCGGTTCGCGGTGGCGCGTGCCACATTTCGCCTGACATCACGATCTTTCCGGACGCCAATCTCGTTGGATTTTCAACATGTGGCCGATCGCTCCCTAACTTGGGAAATCTTGTTCCTACCACAGTGCCGTCCGTATCTCTTGCGAAACTCGTTCTCCCGCCGCAGCGCCCTGCCCAGAGCAATTTTTCAAATCGCTCGAAGTCATGATAGTCCTCTTAAGTCCGAGCAGGGCAACGCTGTGAGGCTCGCAGGGGCTCCTTGGCGTGGTCTCGAAAGGGTTCCGAACAGATTCGAGATCCTGCTCCCGCAGCGTCGCAGTGCTCGAAATCGTGCGCCCGCCATAGGCTGCCCTGGGAGCCTAGAGGCTGCTCTTGGAATTCTTTGCTTTTGTTATGACTGCGGGTCTCTTTGACTGTTTGGGGATCTGTGCTCGCATAGGTTAAAGCCTGCGGCTACAAAGCCGTAGCTGGAACCAGATCATCTTCAAAACTCCACCCCCCGAGTTTGGAAATGTCCGCTCACAAAGGTTGCAGCTTCAGTTTCCTTCGATATGACATTCGTCCGTAGCAACTGCTGATGGGTTGAGATGTGCTGCGCAAAGGCTCGGGGAAATAGCCGTTCCCTGCAGTCTGGACTTTCCGAGCAGTGTCAAGTCTTCAACTCGCATACTCGCAGCCTGCGACAATGACTTCAGAGCAGCGGTGGCGCGCTCCTGACCATGTGGTATGCGAGAGCTCTGGATGATTTCACCGCCTTTGCATGCTGCCTTCGGGAACTTACGGCCGCCGACAGCCTGAAGCATTCTGGGTGGAGAATATGAGCAAGAGAGCAGCGAATAAGCCCGCCTCCTTGGGAGGCCGTTCGGGGATTGGCGCCGAGTTCGTGCGCGGCCGCCCCCTCGAGAAGATGTCACGGGCCCTTTGCACAAGTGCCTTTGACTTTATTGGGAGTTTCCGAAAATGGGGGACCCCAACATAGTACCCAAGATAGTAGGATCCCTGTTATAAGGACCCCAAAATAAGGTAACCCCTATTTTTCGGAAACTCCCTTATCGCACCCTCACCGTGAAAATGGGGCGGTCTGCCTGTGATTTCGCCTCGCCTTGGTAGCCTTCATTGCCATAGAATGCGGGCCGTAGAACGTGCGATTCCTGAGAGCTCTGGAGGTTTAAGGTTTAGGGTTTGGGAGCTGTTCGGTCTGTGAAAATGCGCCAACGAAGCCGAGAAACTCATAGAGCTGATCGTCTGGATCATTCCTGAGGCTCCAAGACTTGAAAAGTCAATCGGGGGCTCGCATTTCACTGACCAAAGTCTGCAAATTCACGCACGTGGCCTGGTGCAGCAAAGTGTCTGAAGGTTAAGCTGGTTCAAAAGGGCACCCAATCGAAGTTCTTCTCTTCGCTGCTCAAGAAAACGAGAGTCTTCCTGTAGCCATTTGCGTTCCTGGCGAGCTGTGCATTATTGCGGGAAGGTACCCGAGAAAAAGCACCGATGGGTCAACAGATGATAACACTAGAGATCCAACTACTCCTGTCTACGAGAGATGCCATGTCGCCATGCCTACATTTTCCTTATGTCGAAACTACACACAAACTCTCTTGGGCTCCCAGCAAAAGAAAAGACTCCTTTCGCACTTTTCCTCGTGCACTGCTGTTCGGTCCCAACTGCCCATCTCAAGCCAAATTGGGCGTCTCGTGTTCTCAGTTTGGTCCTGGACAAGGAAAGTGTTGAGCTTGCTGGAAAAGCTGCGAAAAGTCGGCAGCTAACCATGTGATGCATAATGACAGTGCTGATGCACTGGTAGGGATCGACCGCGACGGCATGTACCAGGAGATAGAACATGGCGGTTCGATTGGATGTCTCCGATCGGTCTTCACCGCCGTAATCGTCACCATTTGCACGGCCCCTCCGGCATTAAACCAAGGACGAGTCCTGATGTCATGAGGCCAACCCCGGCTCATTCACTCACTTCCCAACGGTTGCCCGGACGTCGCCATTTTGAAACCGAGGCATCTAAACATCACCTCATCTCAAAACTCACCTCATTTTTCATCCCCTCCTTCATGAAGCAGGTAGGCTGTACTGTGTTGCAGATATGATTGCTGATGACCGCCACTACCCAAGCCAGGCGATTCTACATCAGTGAGAAAGGATGGGCGACAAGACCCAGCAATCTCGCGGTAGTGAGGCTACGTGTCGCACACCTCGGTTTGACCGAAACTTGAAGACGTCGCCATGAATGATCGAGGCTTCAATTACCACTCTTTGGCCGTGTCTGTATTTTCGCATCATCGCACACTCAATTCAACCGTTCGAACCATGCCTTTGAAGTACGTACCCGCCATTCATGGGCTGGCTTCGATTGCGAAGCTCCTGTTGCACTGTTGCAGACCCTCTAGTTTCTGAAATTACCCCGTGGAGAACACAGAGAAGAAGCGGCATGGAACCCAGAGAGCTTCAAGCACGAGCAGAAATTGCCGGGGGATCCGAACTTATGACGTGTAGGTATGCCGGTCTGTAGGAAAGTTTCAATGCGCTTACCCACCATCGCTGTCAGTATCCTGCGTCACCCTAGACCCTCCAGTTGCCTAAATAGCGGGTTCGTGGATTACATATTATATATAGTTAGTCTTAAAAGAAGACTATTTCCGTAACTGGAGCCCTAAGGTCAGTTCTGAGACATGCCCGCAGCCGGGCCAAGGCCTGATTCAGCCTCTTCTCGCGCACGTCGTACTCGATGAAGGGATTCTTGGCACGAGCGCCGCCCTTGCCGAAGGCAACGATTTGCAGACTTGCGGACAGCCTAAACCCCACATGCACCAAAACCCAACTTTCAATTCCGGATTTTGGCTTCCTTTCTCGTCAGGGTTTAAAGCCATCCGTGGCCTGTGGGTTGGGACGCTCCCGACCTCTGGCAAGGCTTTCCGGGATTTACCGGCTTCTGTCCTATCTGCTTGCCTGGTGGGGCCTCTGCTGGGGGTCTTGGGGCCACTCGAAGTCTCTGGAGATCTCCGGGGCAAAGAAGAAAAACAACTCGTCATGTTAGATGATTTAAAACCTGCGCTAAACATCCCTAAACCCCTAAACCGAAATCCACCGCAAGCATTCCGAACGAACCGGTGGTGAGTTTTGGGCTGCTGGCTTTAGGGATGTTCAGGGTTGGTTTTGGCCATGCCCCCCGAACGGTGATAACGTCCGTGGTCTAGTGCATCCGACGAGAAGCGCATCCACGCCCGATTTGTGATAACGACTTGGGCATGGAAAACCGCGTCAACGCGTGGAAAGCAATGCACTTGGATGCTGTTTTTTATAGACTAGTATTAATTAGTAGCCTCATAAAAGCTTGTCTGTGCGGACGAGCCCGGAAAAATGCATTATCTCTGCAATACTTCCAACTGCCTTACGTACTATCGGGCTGACTGTTGGCATTGGATTTCGGGCGGTGGCTTTTCTTGGGTTTGGGTGCTTTCTATGGACGTTTCCGGAGCCCTGAACTTCCGAAACCTTCCTGAACCCTGCACCGCGAAACCCGTTCTAAACATCACAAAACCCACAATACCACAGCCTGCCCTGAACCTTTTTCACATCCCTAAACCCCGAAACCATCCGAAACATACCCAGACCCTAAACCGCAACACCCACCCTGAACCTCAAAACCAATCACCCGAAATCCACCGCAAACATTCCCCAACGTTAAAACCCCCAAACCTGTCCAACACATACCTAACCTTCAAGCCTGCGACACCACAATCCACGCTGAACCCTAAATATACCTTAACCATAAACTCCACCTAAACCCCAAACCCCGCCCGCACGTTACAGAAATCCTTAGACTATAGAAAGATCACTTTGGACTATGCAGAAAGCAAAACGTCACTGCTCGTAGTAAAAATCTCAAGAAAATCTTACACATCCATAGACGCAGGGTTCATCGGGTTCAAGTCGGCAAGGGTCTTGAAGAGCTTCAGTTTGTTAAAGGCTTGATGGCAAACCTTCGTGAACCCTAAAACCCAAACATCCCTAATTCCCAAAACCAGCCCTAAACATCCCCGACCCCTAAACCCCAAGACACATCATAAACATGCCTTAGCCCCAAACACCAAACCCCAACCCCAAACACCCCTGTACCCTAAACCCTAACAACCAGCCTGAACCTGCCAAAATCCTAAACCAAACATTCCCAAACCCTAAACCACTTCCCAAAGAAACCCAAAGACGCCCAAACCACAATATCCACCCTCGACATCCCAAGCCCTAAACCTCGAACCAACCCTAAACGTCCCTTTAAACCCTAGGTCCTAAACACGAAAAGCATCCATGCACCCGAAATCCACGACAAACAAACCTGAACCCAATAACCCAAAACGTACCCTGAACATCCCCAAACCGGAACAGCACATCCCACCCTGAACCGAACCCGAACCCCAAACCCCAACACCGCCCAAAACCCGAAGCGACACAAGCCCCCCCCCCCCCCCGCAGACCAACTCTCCGGAGAACGCAGGCCTTCCTTCGAGCCGCACTACGGGGACGCCGCTCAATCCGCTCGAAGCTCCAGGAAGCGTCGTCCCTGAAAGGTGTTGGGGGTAGCCTCTTTTTGAACCCGGCTTCTCCCCATCCGGCGTTTGGGGGTAGGGTTTTCTCCTACTGCCAGGGTTTGAGGTTAACCTGTAGGGTTGCAAACTTATGACTTAAGTAAAAACTTCACTTCGACGGTCTTGCTTTGAACACATTCTTTATGCCATTGCCAGGATTTCAGGTGTGCCCCATTTTCGGAAACTCCCAGGTCACTCTCTTGTTTTCGAACCTAAGGTTTCGGGCTCAGCGATCGAGGCTTTGGGGCGCACGCTCTTTGAGCGGTTAGCTTTTTTGGAAAACGGCTTCTCGGGTTTCGGGTAAAAGATGCTGGTTTAGGGTTTAGGGTTTTCGGGTTTCGGGTAAAAGGTGTTGGTTTAGGGATAAGGGTTTAGGGTTTTGGGGTTAAGGTTGGTCCATGTCTTGGGTTCAGATGCCAGTTACCGGTTACTAAAAGCACTACAGGTAAGACGCCCGAGGCCCATGGTATTTCCGCCTTATCGGGCGTAACTAGGTGGATCGGATGACCCTCAACCCTAAGCCCCAAGTTGCGCGCCTGCTGACGGAGACTTCTCGATGAAACGTTGGTGATGGTGTTGAAACTAGAGACATCGACGGCCTGCGCTGAGAGATCGTCGAAATTCATCCCCTAGACTTAGCAGCAAGCCACATCTGCAGGAAGTGAAGCTAAAATCAATCAGAACGCGTCGGTGATTAACTGATGTCGGCATCGAACACCATTCAATGATGCGCTTCCTCCTTCTAACGCCGGCAGGGCCTTTCGTTGCCATTGGCTTCGCCATCTGGCGTTTGGGGTGGGCCCTCCTCCTGCCAAATTGCAGCTTGAAGTGGATGCATACACGATAATATGCTATGATCCAGTATATTATCGCACATTATACTGGAATATACTAGCATATATACATATGTATATATATATATGTATATATATATATATATATGCTACCCCCCCCCAGATACCAATAGAATTGTGTGTTTTGTGCTTTAAACCCTGCAATTCATGACACCAAGACACTCGAAGGTCTCAGATACTTCTAGTGCACGACCAGAAGGTGATTTTGTTCATCCCCTAGATCCCGCAATTCAAGACGCATGCATCCAGGAGGCGCTTAATACAGGGCCAGGCAAGCCTGACTACATTGATGCCATACACATACAGGATGCTTCAGCACATGATAGGTAGTAACGGTTTAATGGCACCCTCTGTGTTACTTAGACGTGCCTCTAATCTATCACCCATCCTTCCTTATCACACGCTACTACCACTACCACTCCTCCTCGTGCTGCTGCTGCTATTACTGCTACTACCACATTACTACATGTTTAGTTAGGTCTATGTGTTTCAGCGTCATTCCACATCTTGCCCCAAATGTATCCAGGCGACCTTTTCCTAGACCATGTCTTCTCACCATATTGCTCCTAAATTTCGTAATTATCATGATATTAAATTAAATCCTGTCACATATCCAACTATTATCAAGATGGTCATAACAAACCACCACAAGAACCGTGCTACGACTACAATCTACTACTGATACTACTACTACTACTACTACTACTACTACTACTACTACTGCTGCTACTAACGACTACTACTACTACTGCTACTACTACTACTACTACTACTACTATCACTACTATCACTACTACTACAACTGCTACTACTACTACTACTACTACCACTACTAGTCAATCCATAGTATTAAACACGATTACACTGTACCTTTATCCTGTTATACTACTACCGCCATACCCTTATGCTAATCATCATATTCCTGCCACAATGCCTTAAGCAAGCTTTTCCATCCTATCATAAATCAAAAAGCTACCCATATTTATGGGTTTAGATGTAATTAAGGACACAGTATTAACATATCATTCACTTACATCAGTCTATCTCATTTACCTAACACACGTAAGCAGTGCTCACTGAAGTAATCAAATATCACACTCATCACCCTAAACATAAAACGTCAGTGAGACTGGCAACCAGAAACAAAACACACCCTTTTACCATCTCCAACAAACACTTACAAAAGTAAGGGTACATTAACTAATCATAGTGAACCCCAGAAAGTTGGAACATTGATTTAGGGTGATTAGTGTTTGATTTACTTTGCCTTTAGAATAAGGGCATTAGGATACTGATGTTTCAACTTTCTGGAGTTCACTGTAGAATAATTTACAATGAAACCAGATCTCAAGTTGACGGCAAAACAAAAATCTGCTGTAAGTCAACGCTAACAGAGCGCGAGAAGAAAATCTGCAGTGCGTTTTGCGCGGGCGCCGCGCGCGTGACGGAAACCTTCCAAAAGATCGTTTGCTTGAGACAGTACAGTGGTTTCGTTAATTTTATTGTAAAAGTGCTGTACTGTCCCAAAAAAATCAATCCTTTTTTGCAAAAGTGCTGTACTGTCCCAAAAAACCAAAAAAACCAATCTTCTACAGTCTTGGAGCAGCTGCCGTGTAGGGGCCTCCAATAGATTTGTTTTTTTTGGGACAGTACAGCACTTTTGCAAAAAAGGATTGGTTTTTTTGGGACAGTACAGCACTTTTGCAAGAAAAGCAACAAAAAACACTGTACTGTCCCAAAAAAACCAATCCTTTTTTGCAAAAGTGCTGTACTGTCCCAAAAAAAACCAATCTATTGGAGGCCGCTACACGGCAGCTGCTCCAAGACTGTAGAAGATTGTTTTTTTTTGTTTTTTTGGGACAGTACAGCACTTTTGCAAAAAAAGATTGGTTTTTTTGGGACAGTACAGCGCTTTTTCTAGTTTGCGGAGAAGTGTGATGCAGAGCGAGTACTCAAGTGCTGAGCATCCTGCTGCTATACTCAAAGTGGTGCAAGCGCCCTCTAAGGCCACAAAACGTTCATGGAGAGTCTTGTCACAAGTCTCAGCCAAGAGGGTGCTCGAATGCTCTGTTTTTGTCTCATGGTGCTGCCTGCAGAAGGAAAACACAGGAATGTATTGGTAACTGGGGGGGGTACCATATATATATACATAATATACTAGAGTGTGCTATAACATCTTATCGAGCAGCACAGTTGAGATCCTTTGGCATCTCCAGTACCACCGTTCGCCCTGACGGTTTCTTGGACTTCCCGGCCGTGCGCTGACCAGGTAGCATGGCATATGGAGTTTTAGGGGACAGCTACAGCGATACTTACACAAACCGTAACAGCATTTCGTACTAGAAGGGGAAGCACCCATAATGGTGATTTGAATTAGTGACGAGTTGCACTTACACGCTTCTCTTCAGGCCATCCTTCTCTACCCTCAAGCTGGAGCCCCATCACAGGTGTTGCCAAGTAGAGCTTGGACATGAAACGACAACGCACCTTGGCAGCTTCAGTCACAGCTTCAGTCTCGAGACCTTTTGCTGCATCTCTTCGAGACTCTTGGAGTTGTTCCTTGCACTTTCGAGCAAACCCTAACCTCACCCCTGAGACCCTTAAACCCTATCGGAATCAACGGGAACTGCTCGGCTCTAAATTCCAAGCGGTGAGACGTCAGCGGATGGAGTGAAGCGAGCCCACGATAATGGGGTGCATCTTCGGCGCCTGGCAGCGCAACAAGGACTGGCATGGATACATTTGCAAGGATCTCAGAAAGCTCCTAAATCCCAAGCACTTGGTCCCTAAACGCCAAAGCCCAAACACCTAAACCTAAACCCAAATTCCCAAAGCCCAAACACCTAGGGCTTCGTGGACCCTAAACCTAAACTCATAAAACCTAAACCCCAAACTCTAAACCTAAAGTCCTAAACCCTAAATTCCTGTTCCGCTGCCTGCCACGCAGGATGAAAGCTTTGCGTCTGCGCTTCCAAGCGAAGCTTGCCCTGCTCGAGAGCCTCCGCAAGGACGCTCAGAACCGCATATACTATACTATGTCATACTATACTATACTATACTATGCTGTACTATACTATACTATGAGTTACTATACTATGCTATACACTATACTGCTATGTTATATAGTATTAGGATGATGTTATACATATGATAGATCTTTATTTTATCATACGGTTATCGTGAAGATCATTCCAACGACGGCCGTTGTTGCTAGCATTATGACTGCAGAGGTGCTTGTGCTTGTAGTCGTCGTCCAAGTGCAGGTAGTCTTTGTAGGTGGTTGCTAGGTACAAGTAGCTAAGTTGGCAGGCAGGCAGGCATCGTGGGAGTAAGCGTGGTAGAAACTACCCTTCTTCTGACACTTACTCTTCTTTGTTTACATTCAGCACTACTCACTACACTTCTTGGTTGGTACTGCTATTTGCAGAGTTTAGGGTTTAGATGGGTTTAGGGACTGCTCTTGCCAGCAATTCCAACAGGAAATCATGAAATCAAGGATGTGCGGAAGCCTTCGAGGCATCGCTCAGCGAATCGACGTCGAGGTCCTGCGTGTATCGCCAGCTGGCTCATACGGGAGTTTCCGAAAATGGAGGACCCCAATATAGCACCCTAAATAATAGGATCCTTATTTTAAGGACCCCAAAAGAAGGTACCCCTCATTTTCCACATGACGACATGCCTGAAGACTGCGCCGCAGCTGGTTGCAGAGGAAGGGCAGGAAGGTCAGTGCCGAGCCACGGTCCTAGGAATCCACATGAACCCCCTTCCGCTCGGCTGTGACAAGTCGAACACGGCGCCTCTAGGTTCAAAAAGCTGCCAAGCAACCACCAGAGTCGTCGGCACGCCGCTCACCACGGGGCCATTTCCTTGCGGGACTCCCTTCGCTCTCCCAGCTCTGTTGCGCTTTCCAACCCGTCCTTTCTGAGCCTCGACTCGTACCCGCGCACCTTCAGGGCAGAGAATACTGGCCCGCGGGCATGCGTGCCCTTCACTGAATACCAGCACCAGCAGCCTTCACGAAAGATGTGCAAGCCGCACGCCTCCTGACAATGAGATGGGAGAAACAAGGCAAAATGTGCCGTCTCAAGCCGCTCTGAGCCTCGCATCGCTCGAGCATCGCATCGAGGCACACTGCGCTGGCGCCCAGCAGCAGGGCCTGGAGTCAGAAAAAGCCGCTTTAAAGACTCCGGGCTCTAGACCCTTTTTCCCCTTCCATGGGCCTTGAGAATCTGCCCGGAGTCCTTCACCTGGTCTGCTACAGGTAGGTCTCTTAGGCTTAGGCTCCAAAGAGACTTGGACCTGCCCTCCTTGCCTCGACATCAGCTATAACCGGAATCCCGAAGGTGGAGCGAAGGGCCCTGGAAAGCTCGAAGATTGTCGTGGCTTCCGCACCCTTGGCGTCTCCAACCTGGTATGGCATGACTGTCAGTCGCCACCACACTGCATGCGTGATGTCATGCGTGTAAGGTTAATGCCCGCACGGCATCGGCACCGTGCTCACAGAGCAGCGTCGCCTGGCTTTCCAACGAAGACTTACAAGGCTCATGCGCTTCACCTGGAGTTCAGGCCTTAGCTTGTCAGGTGCACATTTTTGCAATGAGGGGTGTCTAGCTGGACTCAATGTTGAGACTGGTATTAGCCAACCAACTCCTTGCTGCTCCCCCAAGCGATCTTGCAGAGCCTGGCTGAGGCAGTTCACCGGGCCGACGATGACATCGATCCCGGCAAACATGTCCTCAATCCCCGACGCTGCAGATAATGATCAGTGCGCAATGGCAGTGCAGCTTCAAGCACTTGTAGACAGCTTCGCCAGGCGATATGATCTATCATTACCGAAGCTGATGCATGGCCGCGCAGTTGCTCGCCTTCATCTGCTTCAGAAACGCAACCTGGGTGCACAGAAAGACTCTTTTGGGATTGTGGGACCTGGGAGCTGCTGCGTCCCATGCGACTTAGACCGGCGCGACATATTGGTCAACGCCGTCACCAACGTCCAGGCTCAAGACATCAACGCCGGCCTCCACCATGGCCTGACTCTGTTTCTTCAAAGTTTCACATTCACACCCATCAGAAATCTCCAGAGAGCCGTAGCCTTGACCCGGTCCCAGCCATCTGGTTCATGTGCAGACACCGCAGCTGCAACCATGAGCTGCCTCGCATCTGCAACACTGTCCCAGGGCTTTGCTGTTTTTCACGTGTGGCCTGTTTGCATCCCGTGATGCCATAGGATGCTGCTGAGCAATTTTCATGTCGCCACGACCTGAGCGCTCCGCAAGGTAGTCGCAATGAGAAAACGTCGGAACATGACAGTGCAGATGCGAAGTTGGACCCAAGCAAAGCAATGCCACTAGCTCCATATCCTTGTTCAGCACGGGCAGCTTAGACACCTCCCGACAGCCACTAACCAGTCCAAACAAAGGGAAAGACACGGTGCAAAATCCAGGCGATGTTGGGCCTTTGCTTGCTGCATGTGCACGCAGGCGTCTTTCAGTGTGACTGGCTCTTGTGCGAAGACCTGAGGTGCTGATCAGCTCCTGACCTAATAACCTTTTGTCAGCCACCTAAACCGCTTCAATCAGACAGGGTCGGGGGAGGGTAGGCAAGCTGCTCACGAGGCCATTAAGTTCGCTGCCACATCGCGGTTCATCACAGAAGCGACAAGCAGATTCCTGCGACGACACATCCAGACCCTCCCAAACCGATTTAGGATGAAGCGCTTCTCCGACTGGTCCCGTGCTGCCCTTCCAGGTCTCTCTTGGTAACCAGGCCCACCAAGCGTCCACCCATTCTGCCTTCGTTTGAGACCGCAGGGGACGTGAGAATTTCCGAAAATTCGGGGTACCTTATTTTGGGGTCCATATTATTTAGGGTACTATATTAGGGTCCCCTATTCTCGGAAACTCTGGGAGCGATGCCGTTCTCTGTGACGGGCAAACTGCTGCAGCCAAGCTCATCCTCGACGCCAAAGAAAACTCGAGTGCCAGCGCGCATGATGCATCTTTTCCGAAGCAAGTGTAAGTGTCTGTGTGTGTGTGTCTGCAACGAATATTGCTGCTACATTTGTGAATTTTCTCTTCACAACCTCCAAGTTGCCTGCTGGGAAATGTCCTCCGTCCCGCCGCCTCCCCTCCCGTAACTGCCCCGGTGTTCGAACGACGGCCAGACCTCGACAATTATACATATGTATGTATGTATGTATGTAAATTCACCCTCACTCGACCATTCTTCGAGCATGGATCAATCCCAGCTTGGGCGATCGGCGGGATGCCAAGCTGTGCGGAGCATCGGATTGCACAAAACTCCTCCACTCTCTTACATCAGCTACAAAAGCGAGCAGCGAGCCTGGATGCTTCGAGCCTTCTGGAGGGTGGTCTTCGGTGCCACGCAGGTGGGATTCAATATGAAGCCAGAGTGATACTGCTTCACCCTTGGTCGAACCATATCACTCAGCGAAAATTCCAGCTGCACCTGAGGCACATCTATCAGTTCACTGGGATGCCGGCCGCCGAACTTTGAGGGCTTGAGTAGCTATCGGCATGTGCCTGGCAGCTTCAGTAGGTCGCTGCACCAGGGTGTTCGAAACATGTTAGTTGTCTGGACCAGATGATAAACTCGGAAAGAATAGCGCTCACTGCCGACTAGCATCCTACTTTCGACCCTATCCATTTTCCATGTTTTTGCTTTCTCCACCAGTGCGGCTCGACGCATCTGGCCGGTATTGCTGTGATGCTCCTCGTTTGGAACCAGCCGGAGATCCTAGTGACGTTCATTATGATGCAGGGTTTCAATACTGCAGGTGGAACAATGACACATTCGTTGAAATGAACTCATAAGCTCCAAACATTAACCAATCCCTGCAACACCCTAAACTCCTAAACCTTGTACCACCCGGTGAGATCGGCTGGAACTCTTCCGAGTCCACGTTTGAATTTGCCTTCATTTGCCCACCGACTATGTCACGGAAGTGCTTGGAGGCTCCATGTTGGAACTGCGGCGGCTGACAATGCTGCAAATAGCAGAACCTTGAATACATAGATGGCAATAATGGTGACTACCTCAAGAAATTGAGTTGCGCCATGTTGGATAACGGGCTTTGAAGTCCAAGTACGGCGCTAACAGAAGAGGATATCTCGGAATGTTGGAATGACAACTCACTGCGGCAAATGCCAAGATGAGAGATTGCAACATAGCACCGTAGTTCCTGACATCTACACGAAATGTGTCCGTGGAGACCGCAAACAAGTGCAAGGGCACATAGCAGTGCCAGATCGAGATATATCCAAAAAACCATTCGAGCAGCAGCCCCCAGGTCCAAAGACCGCCGCGACGAACCCGAAGTCTCAGCCCTAATATGATCTGGAAATCAAACCCACGGACCCGAATGGCGGCGAGCACTGCGGCGGCAGCAGGATTAGAGTGTGCTTTTGATAAAGGAAAAACGCGGACAGCAGCAATTCCAGCAGCCCGAGAAAGCGAATTTTCTGTGACATCTTCTATGCGGCAATTTTGGTCGGCCTTCGTTTGAACAGCGACAGGTAGAATCAGATGCGTCCGAAAAAGACGTAAAGCCAAATATCCGTCGGCACGTGCCGTCTGTGCATCGTACGCGCACGCGATCTTCGTGCACCCTCTTGTGCATGACCGCGCGGCTCGTGGGCATCTCTTCTTTGCATTCTCCTGCTTTGTGGATACTTCTGCCAAGTGCGGCTTCGACTTCGCAGAGTTAGTGGTGGTCGCGATGCCGAATGTCGTGCGAGTTCTTTCTCGTGCATGAGTCGGAGTGCACTACTAGCAAGAACAGAAACCTCGTTCAACGGAATCCCTCGAGTTGCAGGCACTTGAACTCCGCCTGTGGATAATGCCGATTCCTCCCTCCAGTGCGAGAGCCATTGCCATGCCTGCACATCAAAAAGAATCTCAAACTGCCATAGACCGCGGTGGTTGCGTCTCCCACTACACTTAAAGGATCAAGGGACTTAGTAATTCGGGCTATGAGTAAGGTAACTATACTTATAGCTGCTTATAATAACCCGAATTAAGGTACCTATAACCTTACTTACTATAGGTCCCATGATCCTCTAAGCAGCATGGGTCCCTTTGTGCAGGCCTTCCTCTGAAATCTGGCTGGGGCCACTCAGTACCGGCCTGCCGAGCTTCATGTTCCTGCAAGCAGAAGCAGCAAAAGCGCCGGAGCTGTTCGAATCTTCTATAATCCTACCCCTATTAGAATATACTAAAGTACCCTATTATAACGAACCATAGTACCCTATCATAGAGTGCTACGGTACCCTAATATAGTCTACCATAGTAGCACCCTGTTTTTTGTTTCGGGAAGACCTGAGATCCCTGCTTTGTGATGCGACAGGACAGGCTCGGCACCTTCTCAGTTCCCGAGCCTTCGCATGATGAGAGCTGCTTCTTCGGCATGGCATTGACATGGGAGTTTCCGAAAATCGGGGACCCTAATATAGTACCCTAAATAGTAGGATCCTTATTATAAGGACCCCCAAAATAAGGTAGCCTTAATTTTCGGAAACTCCCACATTGGGCTTGAGACTCAGCGCAAGGCCGGGAAGGAACACGATGTCATCGAGGCTCATGGCACGACTCCTTGGCCAAACAGCGGCAGGTAACCTGCCAGCCGGCCTCAAACCCAAACGGTGAGCACATGGCCTCGAAACCAGGACCTGGACCTGAAGCCTAGGGGATAGAACATTCGAACCCTTTGAGCCGTGAAGACACGCACTTCTCGGCTGAGTTGTGTCGCTGGAATGAAAGCAATATCTTGAAACACCTTCCTCCTTGCAGTAGCGACCCCAAGAATCCTAAACCCTAAACCCGAAAAACCCCTAAACCCCAAAAACCCTAAACCCTAAAACCCCTAAAACCCATAAACCCTAAAAGCCTTAAACCCCAAACCCTAGACTCTCAATTCTCAGTCCCTGAGTCGCTGGCCCAGAAGCAAAGGCCTCCGTCGCGCTCCAACCTTCCCCGCTTCCGGCCATTTGCGGCCTTTGCGTCCTGAAGAGCATAGGTTTTTTAAAAAGCATAGGTTTTTAGGTTTTTTTAAAAACCTTTTTAAAAAGAACCTATACACTTCAGCACTTCCGAACCTGCTCTCTGGAGTCTCTGGGAGTGTTTCACGATTCAGCCTTCTACTAGCCTTTCGTGCCAGCTGCAATTTGTGTCGCCCGCTACTGCAGGCTCTGCACCGTATCGAAGGATTTCGCTTATTGAAGTCTGCTTCCTTCGGAAACATCCAGCCGCCCGAGGACCAAAACACCGCACAACAAAGCCAAAGAACACGACCGAGTTGTGATAGGCAACTGGCACGACAAGCGAGCGCAATCGAACTGATTCTCCAAGCTCTGAGTGTGGCACGTAGTGGGGGAGGAGGCATAGCCGCCTGTGATCGCCCGCGGCTGCGGCGGCATGGCGTCCGCACAGAAGAGCTCGCTGAAAGCGGTAGACTTGAACTTTTTAGGTCCCTCACGTGGCAGCATGCCGTATCAGGATGGCAAACAGGCGAGGCTACGAAGGAATGCTTGCTACAACTCGCGAAGCTTGGCGGAAAGGAGATGAATCTGATATCTGCTCACGACGGCATGTCGGTGAGTATCACAGTGTGCTGTAACCATGCATTGGACCAACAGCTGCATGCCAAGTTTGAATGAGCTCTGGATGCAAAGGTTCAAACTTGGCAGCTCATGAAGCTATACTACTATCTTGGGGGTTCCTCATTATGATTATAGTATACTGGGCCCCAAAGATATCATTCTAACTATTAAGGCCCATAAACAGCAGGCTGCCGGCTCGCGAAGGAAACTTTAGACGTCGGCCCATGGATCCGAGTCGCTTTGATCGGAATGCCCAGCTGCAACAAAGTTTGTGAAACCGAAGCCATGCAACTCACGGAGCTCCTCTGGCACCACTTACTCTTTCACCTGCAGATCAGGCTGAACAGCGTGCGGACTGCACCTTAAAGCGAGCTTGCCTGCGATGGGCCTTGGGTGAGGGAGGCCGAACAACCCTAGTCGATTGAAACCGACCCATTTCAACTTGCCACATCCGTGCCTGGCAGACGTTCTGCCACCCGCACTCAACGGATTCATCCTTGGCACGCTCCTGCGCAGGTGTTGCTCCCCCAAGCTGCGTTTACGGTTTCTAACTGACGCTGCTCTCTCCTGGCAGATTCGTGGATCACGGCTTCGCATGCACAGAATGACTCCTTTCTCGGTGTGCCTCGGCTTGTGCATCTATGCACTAACCCACACAATGCCCACTCGCGGGCTCGAGCACGACTTGGTAATTTCTATCATTGTCGTCAGATTTCTCGCGTATCAGAACATCATGCATTGGGCCCGTGGCATCCCATGTGAAAGACACTCGCGGGAAGGTAGGCAATGTTGAGCAGTGTTTTGTTGAAAATACCGCTTGTCCCTGCTGTGTTTAGTTTAGCGAGGATTTGTGCATCCCCGGCTCCGGCTCCAGATAAGTCCACCTTGTAGCAGAAACATCGCATCCAATGCATCAGGGCAGTGCATTCTTGTGCGCGCACAACACCACTGGTCGCAGTCGTTGGAAGCCCGTCATTCCTATATCTGCCAGTCCCACAGATCCAGGACCGTCCTTCGAAGTCGAGACCTTCAATATATGCTACAAAGTCGGTGCAAAGACGCCATGACACCACCCATCGCTACCCGCTGCAATTGCTGCCAAGGCCACGGTTCTCGAGCAGAAACCGGGAGCGTCGTGGTCTGAACAGAGGAGTCCATTCGCCAGGGATGCCCACGCTACACGGTACTACACGGCTACAGCGGAGCCTCTGTCGTGGTCGTCGTGCTCGCGGTGGTTGTTGTTGGTGGTGGATCGTCAGCTGAGCAGTCGAGTTCATATCACATGACACAGTGGCAACCATGGCTCTGGCAGCAGATCCTAGCACAACCGGAGTCTGCCCGAAACGCGATTGAAGTCAACGCACGCCAAGTCGTGCGCGAAGTGGAGGATCCACTTTCAGTCTGAGCTCGCGCGGGAGCGGAATGCCTCTTTGCCGTGGGGAGACAAAAGCCATGGCACGAACAGCAACGTGGCACTTCTCTGCTTGGACAACCATCGCATCTTCTCTAGTAACCACCGCTGCCTTCCTTCCACAGAGTAGTGAAGCCTGCAGCAGACTCGACGATCTCTGCTTGGGCTTCGAATTGGAAGAACCTTGGGCCCCCAGGACGCAAAGGCACAGAAGAAGGGCAGAAGCGCTGCGCGCCAAGTCTGAGGAGCCCACGAGATTTTCCACCGGAGTTTGTCCACATCTGAAGTGGCAGCGGAACATGATTGTAAGCCGGAACAACATGCAAAAACCCAGAGCCAAGCTGGCGGCTTTCATCGCAAATGATTTCGCCTCTTATCGGATCAGCTGCCTCAAGTGGAAAAGCTGGGGTCAACTACTTGGAGCCGAAAGAGACGCTTAGCTCCATACCCACTTCTCCGTATCACATGGCGCTGTCACGATGTCTAGAGCCAGCTCATACCTGCAACGAAGTTCCCGTAGTGTGCACGTCTGTGGACTGTCACCTCCAAGCTCAAGTCCTGTTTGGCTGTCCACGGCTTGGCTAGGGAGAATAAGGAACCTGTAGACAACATGACAGCATCCTCGCCTTCCACTCATGGTGCCATTCTGAGCACCATGAGTTTCTGCAGGGGGAAGCGGCGTCTGGAAGTTGATGTCTGCTTCGTTCTGCTGAGAAGTCACCTGCCACAACAGCCACCATTCGATCTGAAACCTAGCGTCAATACATGATAGTACTATAGTACCATAGCATTATAGTATATTTTAGCATATTATAGTTTATGACAATGTATTATAGTATATTATAGCATATTATTGTCTCTGAAAGCTTCTTGAGCGATGCCAGGGCCTTGCAGTTCAAGAAGTGTGGCTGCAGGCTGTGGAATAAGATCTTGCAATCTCCGTCCTTCTCGCCGAACTCGGTGCAGAACGAAAGCAAGAAATGAGGAGCCTAACAGACAGAAGCAAACGCTGTGCATTCTGAGGGGTAGACCTTGTATCCCAAAGGGGCACGAATGCTTATCTTTCGTGTTTCCACTTTATTGGCCCAGCTGAGCAGCACTTTGATCCTCCAGTCAACGAAGTCTGCACGCAGGACAGCACACTGTGTCTTGTGATTGCGCTTTGCAGTTCGACCTCTCTTCTGGATGCGGCTGCAAGTTGGCCACCATTCTAGAAACCGTAAACCTTGGTGCTCAGGGCACGGTAATGTAATGTTGTCTAAGCCAAGAACTCGTAGTCAAGCTCACCAGAATATATTTGAGGTTGACACGAGGTACAGTGCTGCTGGACGCATGGCAGCCACTTCCACTCCGCCGTGCAGTTCTGCAGACAGGGGCTGACAACAGGAACACTTGCGGCCGGAAGTCGATGCCTCGCCTCATCCTCTATGTCCTTCTGCAACACCTGATTTGCAAGCTGACAGGCGCACGCTGCCTGAACCTAAGCCCATCAAGCCTGCTTCATGACAATGAAGTGGCCCTTACCACATGCTGCATCGCAGGGCGTGATCACTTCCCACTTCTTGGAATGCTCGCACCTGCAGAATGACAGCAGCAGCTTGCAAATCCGAGCAAGAACCCAGCTCATGGCTGCGGCCTAGCTTTGCACGGCCTTAGGACAACAACGGCACAAGGGATCCTGCTAGACTCTGCCTGATCCTTTTGCATGTAACCTGAGCTGAGCCAGGAAGAGCTGAGGCGAACACTGTGTGTTGCATGGCTCCAGCTGCTCAGAGTACCGCTCCTAAGTATGCAAACTGATATTGAGGTCGTTAGAAGGCATCAAGCTGCCGCTACATCGATCGAGCCACCCCCATCTGCGGGCAAAGGTGAAAGTTGTCGCCATCTATAAAGAACCTGCCCGAGCAGTGTTCAGGACACCCAACAGAAGGGAAAAGACCGCATCTACGAGGGTCATATCAAGCGAGCGAAGCACTGAAGCAACATTTCAACCTGTCCACTTGGCCTCTTCCGGGTGAACTTGACTCCGCCACCGCAAGAGGCCGAACACTCGCCTTCGATGACCTCTTCCTGGCGTTGGTCAGTCTTGGCCGAAAGCCCAAGCCAGTCACAAAAGCTGCAGCCTTGTAACCACAGGAGTAAAGACAGGGATGCTCGTTACACCTCCTTAGTTCACGGAAGGTTGGATGCAAGCGTGCTCCGTCAATAGATCTAAGTGCCCAGCCCTGGATTGGGATGAAGGATTTCATTGCCTTCGATGCGAGCCAAAAACTCATCATCTATGAAAAATGCAAACATCGTATCGCGAAGATGCCGACGAGGCACACTGCTGTCCACCTGGAGGCTGCTGCAAAGGCCTTCTGACTAGCCTGGCATCGCCAACATGAAGCGAGATTGAAAGAAGTGTATATATGTATATACATTACATATACATGTATATAGATGTATGTATGTATTGATGTTATATATATATATATGCATATTAATGTGTGTTTTGTGTGTTTAGTGTACAGTATATTATGATACATGCTCAGTCGCAAGGCCCGGGCATGCGGTTGCCACCACCACAGCGAGCAGAGCAAGAGCCCCACCCTGAGACAAGCAGTGCTCCCAGAAGCTTTAAAGGGAATGCAGGGATGTGTCTAGTACCGTCAGGACGCACATTGCGACAAGATCATTGAAAGCATACACCTTCTATCGCTGCATACCTACGTACCTACCTGCCGACCTGCATACCTATGTACCTATCTATCTATGCACCTATCTCTTTATGTAGCTGTCTATCGTGAGTTCATCCATCCAGCCATCCAGCCATCCATCCGTCCGTCCGTCCATCGATCCATCCATCCATCCGTCCGTCCTTGCTTTCGATATGTACGTGTACATATTCTTACGTCTTCTTGTAGGTTGTGCATGTAGATGCACATATTAGACATTTACGTAACAACTACTGGTTCACCAATTTCTGTGACACATGTCGTCAATGTCGCAGTTGCCGTGATGCATTCCAAATCGAAACTCTCCTCACCGCATATAGCGTGCAGGGTAGACGGTTGAGGGGTGGAGGCGCTATAGGGTCTAGGGTATGGCTTAAGGAGTTTAGGGTTGAGGGTGGAGCGGGCGGGAGCTCCACCCAAAATGGCCCCGGATGTGGAGGAGGGATAGCTGCTTTGTCAGATCCCAAAATCCCAAGTCACCTAGCCGATGATTTAGGAACTTATTCATGTGTGCGGTATATGTTCTATTGGGTACTGTTACGTTATGATTAGTATTAAGCTAAGAGTGACATCCGTTTGCTCAGAGACGGTTTCATAATTTTGGATGCATTCCACAACTTCGATCCCTACTAGAGATTGGGGATAGAGGAACACGCGCCCTAAGCGGTGCATTTGTCGCGCGAAGCCGAACACATGCATGGCACCCTCAACATTAACCTGAAGAGATACCCACGAACAGCCAAATATGCGAACCCGTTTCCGCTGATTTCATGCGAACACGAAACATGGGAGTTTCCGAAAATAGGGGACCCTAATATAGTACCTTAAATTGTAGGATCCCTTTTATAAGGACCCCCAAATAAGGTACCCCCAATTTTCGGAAACTCCCGCATGAAATTGAAAGAGACCTTCGACTGCGACCTGATGGAACATGCCAGGCAAATGTGAGAGCGACAAGCAATCAGAAACCCCGAGCTTTCTGTCCGGTCACCAGAATCACGCGCAACTTCCAGCCTTCCCAGTCTGAGTAGACGCAATCCCAATCGCCCAGGATCTGTGCGGCTGAGACGATAGCTGGCACTCAACAAACACATGAGCTCAGGCTGAACAAATCAGCGCCCCACTGGCCATGATTGGAAGGCAGTCTCACCTGAGAAACCCAACATGCACGATTCGCGGGCCAGGCAACAATAACGGCCACCTTCCCAGTCTTGCTGCGAAGCCGAAGCCCAATGTAGAAAGAACTTGTTGTCCTGATCGGTATGGCACTCCGGTGGCTTGAAGACTCACTTCAGGCCGAGCCTTAAAGCCCGAACCCTCTCTGCCACTCTACATTCTAAATCATCCCTAGTAGCCCACACTTCCAACTCTCTCAGCCCATAAACCCCTAAAACCTACACCCTCCAGCTCCTCCGGATCGGGGGATCGGTCCGGATAGCGGACACCTGAGAGAAAGGATCTGTGTCCGAGCCATGTCCCATCCGCGACCCCACTCTCTGTCCAGATTAAGGTTTGGGGAACCAGTGGGGATCTATTCGATTCAAATGTTTACGGTTTCGTGCTTGTATTTTTGGGCTTAGGTACTGGAGTGTCGGCCTAGGCTGTCCAGGCTTAGATTCAGGAGTTCAGCATTTGAGGTTGGGGTTCTAGGGGTATTCAGCTTTTGGCTTGATTTGTGCTTCGGCTTGGGGTAGTGAGTTTCGGGCAAGAGCCCTGTCAGCTCGAATTCTGCAAACTCATGTAGGTATCGCTAGGCACATAAGATCCGTTGTAGTAACCCTCATAGTATTCCTCCTTCTAGCCCTTAAAACAACGCAACTTATGTGCTACATGATCCGTGATAGGAACTACATTACATTACAAGTCACAGGCGACACTGGGGTGCAATCAGATCACCAAAGACCCTGCAATGCGCTATCTGGCTATCTCTCTGTGCACGCTATGAGCAAAGAGAGTTGTGAAGTCGCAAGCATGCAACTGCCGACGGATTGGGACAGGAAAATTACTGAGAAGCGAGCGAATGTGGAAGAACCACCTAGGCCACGGCGGCCACGTGCTGCAGCATTGCTCAAAAATCCTCGTGGATACCGCTTTTTAAGGTTCTGCACGGCTCAGCTCAGGACCAGGACAAGGGCACCACGCGCGAACCATTTCCATGATCCACCCTCGCACGTTCGTTGTCTTTTAATCCGACAACTGTGGTAAACCCTAAACCTTCAACGACGTCCCATGCTCTGAGCACTCAGCGCTAAGTCTTTCTTGGAGAGTCCGGGCTTGTCCGGCTCCAGCGTCAGGGTAAGAGCCACCACAGCATCTGACAAGCCGAACAGCATCACAGGACCCCTTCGTCTGTCACTCCACGGCCTTTCTGCTGGGCTTCAGTTCCGTTTCCTTGTGGAAGAAGCTTGCAAACAGAATATGGCGCGGGAAAGGAAACTGCAGCGATGAACTGAACTCGGTAGAGGCGTAAGTCCTTCAGCACCTAATTGATCATCCAGCTTGTTGTAGACCTGGCTGTCGAGGATCAGCGTTTTCTGTTTTCAGCCGTCTTTGGCTCTCAGTCAGCGACCTCGCAACTGATGACATGTGGAGTCAAAGGCTTCGCCTCAGAATCGAAGGAATCGAAGCTGACCGCCACTCCAGAGAAAGCCTGCCTGTGTCTCGTTCGCGTAGGCAGACTTCCTGTGGGCGCATCCAAGCTGTTGCGTTCCGCACTAAGAAGCTGAAGAGTGTCCGAGCACCCAGCTGATTCAAGTCCTGTGGGGTAAAGACCTCCAAGAGTTCCACAGACGCCCTTCATGCGAAGTGCCTTCTGGTCTGGCCTGGGGGCATCCAGGCTGGAAATTGCCTGCTGCATCCTGCGAGAGACCAGGAAGCTTCTGAAAATAGGGGACCCTAATAAATAAAGTACCCTAAATCGTAGGATCCTTATTGTGAGGGCCCCAGAATAAGGTAATTTTCGGAAGCTGCCGGCACAGTGCCGGCATCATAAAGCGAGACTCAGCCCTGGCCACTTCGACACCGAGCCGTATCGTGCATACAAGTAGCAGGTACACAAAGGATCACGAATCACAAGCTAGCCGCAATACCCAAAAGCTAAGTCAAAAGCATCAGCCAAAGCAACTTGAAACTTGCATGTGCCCCCTGCCAACACCCGGTAACGTGTAATGCTGGTCGACGAAACACAAGTAAGTGGTCATTTGCCGACAACCCGGTCCAGAAGCAGGTAGCCGGGAGGCAGTGTCAAGCCAAGGACCTTGCTGCCCAGGGTTGTGCTGCCATAAGAAGCACTTCACAGTTCTCAACATTCTTCATGCTCCTTGACAATAGCAACCGTTGGGCTGTACTTCACCAACGCTCCTACTCAGGAGTCAGCAGAGGCGGCCGGATGCAGGGCAAAGACGACGGACAAGGTGACGGCCTCCCCCACGCTCTTTCCAAAATCTTAGGTTTAGAGCTTGGGGTTTGGGGTTTAGGGTCTGAGGTTGAGGGTTTTTGTTTAGGGACTAGGGTCTAGGGTAATCCAACCCAAATGGCAGCTTCGGTCGGGGAGTTCTTCCTCTGTCCGGGTACCCTTCCCGGCGTGCCGTGTCACCGTGGCCGTCGAGGATCGCTCGGTGCGTCTCCGGTGTGACGTGGAAATGGCTGTAGAACTCGTCGTACCTGCGCGGAGGTGAAGGAAGATTCTTCCAATGATCTTTGTTTCCTTCGGGATGTTCCCTCCGTCTTTGACGTGACATCCACGCAGTCTAGGCAGCAGACCCGTCTGGCGTGTCTCCATCGAAGTCCTTCTGCAGCTCGTCACTTACCTGAGTCGTAGCCAGCTGAAGCGTCTTCCCTAGCAAAGAGTCGGAGGCTCAGCACGGAGCAGCGAAGTCTCGGATAGACGAAACAAGGCGTCCCAGCAGAAGAGCGAAGAAAATCAACATCCTCCAGTTTTCAAGTACATCACTACGGGATAACACCTGTGCTCACTTCCATGCCTGCAAAGATCTTACCAAGGCAAGGGCGGAACTCGAATGTTTGGAATTCACCTAAGCTCAAACCAAGCGCGGTTGCTCAAGAAGCATTCCTAGACACGTCCAAGGCGGCCAGTTCCAGCCGAGAAACAAGCGTACGGACCGGTGTACAAGTACACTGCCGAAGAAGGGTGTGGACCCTTGTCGGCGGGGACTGGCTTGAGCCAAATCCTAGGAAGACCTTCTGTGCAAAAGGAAGAGCTGTCGTAGCTCAAGCACTTGGAGAGTCGCAACGCTGCAGCCCTTGGACGTGTTAAGCGCCGGGTGGTCACATGCTGTCGGAGGATTGTGAAACTTGAAACTTCTACGGCAGCTGACCGCAGTCCACGTCCACTCCAAGACGGACGAACCAAACTTCTCGCCCCCGCGATTTCAGTGCTTTGTCGTACTTGATCGCCTTGTCAAGAGCACCCTTATCTTGCACTCGTCAGCAGATCGGTGTCAGACAAACCAGCCCTGCCGAGCGGCTAACCCATCCTTCGCCAGAGCGTTTGCAAGTGGCTCATGGCTAGCCTGTGCACGCAAACTGGGAGTTTCCGAAAATAGGGGGACTCTAATATAGTACCCTAAATAGTAGGATCCTTATTATAAGGACCCCAAAAGAAGGTACCCCTGTTTTCGGATACTACCAACTCTTCTGGACCTGTCTCCCGTCTGAGAACGTGGCTCCCTTCCACTCCTTCTTCGTGCCGCTGCTTGGTTCTGCGAAGCCGTTGCTCCTGACTGCAATTATGAAGGGATTCTGCGCCAGACCCCGAAACGCCTAAGGCCCCCCTGAGCTAAATCCTCAAACTCTGCAAACCCCAAGACCCCAAGCTTCAAGACTCCGAATACCCTGCAACATGATACCCCTAAACCCTAAATCGTAAGGGTCTGCAGCTCGGTCCCCACCTTAAACCCTGCAAATCAACGGCATTCCTGGATCGGCTCGAGGCTTTTGTCCTTCTCCGGCGCCGCTTGCAATGCGCCAGCCTCAATAACCAAGAACCAACAAATGCAGAGAAAGTCCAAAAGAAAACCGATTCCGTACCATTTCTTCGCAGATTTTGGGGCTTGGGGTGGGGCTTCGTGATTTGGAGTCCCATCTGTGTCCGTGCCAACATAGGATTTCTCGCGCCCCAAAGCGTCGGAGCCCAAGTGTGAGTGGCTTGTGGTTCAAAACTAACCCCTTTTTGGGCCCTTAGGGGCTTCGGGGGCTTCAAGAACTCACACTTCCATGGTCCGACACGTGCAGAAGCATGACAGGGCTCGGGAAGCCATGCATCCAAGTCTCCATGGAGCTTGCTCGTATCCTCTCTGCCTTTGCCTGCATCACTCAAGGCCGCTCCCCTCAACATGCTCCCGTGTCAACTGCATGTGCAAATGGGCCGAGTGGCCTTTGCAAGCTCCTCAAGTTCTCGCAGTTTCTGGGACTTGGATGCCCCCACGCGATCCAGCCGCTTCACCATGATGTCGGAGAGCTGTAGCTTGATCAGAAGAGGTGCGCCACGCTTCTCCGAGGCCTTATCATCACATCTTAGTCACATCCCGGCCGAACCCTAAACCCTAAACCTAAACCCTAAACCCTAAACCCTAAAACCCTAAAACCCCAGAACCCTGAACCCTAAATACCCTAAATACCCTAAATACCCATAAATACCCTAAATACCCTAAATACCCTAAATACCCTAAATACCCTAAGCCCCTACATAAACCGTGGGACGACGCGCTTCTTTTCGGTTCCTATCAAATATCAGAAACATGATGATCTAATTGAGTGTGATTACCATATTTCTGATACAGTTTCTTCTTTAAGTATTTTATGGAATAGAGGAATGTTTGAGAAGAGACGGGATTTCCTCGTTTCAACTTCAAGAAGTTTTAGCAGCTTTGAGGTCCCGGCAGCTTCAGCGGGGTCTCCTCGCTCGGGTGCTTCGTCAAGTAGCAGCTCCACATTTTGAGCCTGAGAGCCATATAATTAAAAGTAATATAAGATGACATAATATAAGACAATATAATATATATATATATATAGAGAGAGAGAGAGACAGCGAGTGTGTGTGTGTGTGTTTTTCTGTACATATATGTATATATAATGTACATAATATAATATATATACATATATATATATATATAATGGAACACCCAGACCGAGACCAGACACAACTCGTCGATGACGCGTGAAAGACAAGACCTCTAGCGCCCTTGCTCGAAGTCTCACTGACGATGACAAAAATCCCGCATTGCCTGAAGTACCGGACACCAAGACCTGTGGTATATGACGGACAATGCAAGGACATCCAAGGAACGATGAGTGCCACGGGTTGCCTCCAAGAAGGGAGTTGGAATGTGATAGGATCCAACCTGCAGCCAAAGCGGTGGTTGGACAGATTGCAAAACACGGTTTTCTTGGGTTTTGAGAATCCCTCAACAACCTGTGCTTGGACTTCGCTGCATCAGTCTTGCTCCCAGGTGGTGCGAAGACGAGATTTACCTTGGCATTTGCACCAGCACGCACAGATCACCCAAGTCGATCTTTGCCTGACAAGCCGCAGCATGGCAGATGGAGGAATGGTACTTCTTTCTCGTTCCTGGCCGCAACCATTCCAGAAGCGAAGGCCTCAGACACAAGTTCAAGATCCCGATCACCGAACTTTCTGTTCTCAAGCCCTTCTCCTGCCTTCTTCGTGCTTTACCAGCTCGAAAAACGAAGTCGGCCTGGCATCTCGTGAGGATCAGACCAGAGGTGCCGGAGAAACTCCGGAGCAGTCACACGACGGCCTTGTATATGGACAAGGCGTCGCAGAAGGGGTCGACGGAAATCTCCGCGAAGTCCAGCCTCGTTGAGCCGCAAGCTTGGGGGCGAGCCACGTTTGTAGGGTTTAGGGTTTAGGGTTTCTGCCGACATGTACCGGTTAAATCCTTTTCGAGTTGCAGCTGATGTTGCAACCGTGTTTGGAGCAATCAAACCAAAAAAGGCCGGCATCTTAGTGCCAACATGTGCCAACGTCACGGCAAGGCTCTCCGGTGTCGATGCTGCATTGCGAAGGCCGGCGGCAGAAGTGATGGAAGAGTCGCTGGATGCCGAAGAAGCAATCGACTCCCGCCCGTCCCGTCCGTCATCTTCTGGCAGGGCTTGGCTGCTTCGTGAAAGCTTACTAGTTACTGGTATGTTCGGTCTCTCCTTGAAAATCAGGATGGAAGAAGCCGTCGCCCGAGCGGGCAGATGCCTGCATGTCACAGGACAGGTTGCAAGTTTGAACTAGAACATGCGAACGCACCGTGTGGCCATGGTTCACAACAACACGACCGAACAAAATACGGCTCAAACCTGTCCACGGCATGTCGTTCGTCCAGGGTTGAATTGCTTTTGCATTTTCTACCGTATTCTATTCGGCCCTGCTCGCCTTCCCTTGTGAGTTTGTTCTGTGCTCTCCCTTCGCTGCGGCGAAGTGGAACGGGCCTCTGAAGAGCATAGGGTGGTGGATGCAACAATCACTTCTAAGTTCCGCCAAATGGTTGGGAGCACAGCGCCCGAGGGAATCACAGTGTCACAAAGGGAACGGAACATGCCCAAACCGCAAGCAATCCTTGTTTCTAAACGGAGTTTGCGTTGTAAACATCTGACACGGGTTGGGCAGCAGCTCGTCACCCTGCTCGAACCTGCGTCTCCTCTGAGAAGCTTCAGGCTAGTGAAGCGACATTCGCGAAACTTGCCTGCACCCCTGAAACTCTCGCCAGAAATTGTCTGTGCGTCTGCCTCCCTCTTTCCTGATGCTTGGGGGACTTGTCAAGCCCCCCCCCCCACATTCTAACCAACACCTGGCCCCTTCAATTTTGGGCTCTTGGGCATAAAGATCGACTACTCCGTTCGCGACCGCATGGCACGGACGCCTGTTTTTTTGTATTTCTGCTCAGGCGAAGGTCAAGGTCTCTCGGTCTCTCGTCTTTCTTGCCACAGGGTTAAGCATCGGGGAGTTGCCCCATTTGTGGCCCGTCTTGTTCGAGAGCTTTAGCCGCTAAGCCAAGAGGGGGTACAGGCTAGCGCAAAAAACGACAAGGTGCCACAACATGCTTGAATTGTGCTTGGCTGGCTTCGCTCCTCTAACTTGCTTTGAAGGTTGGAGGGCTCCAGCGGCCCGAGTGAATATTCCCACGGCTTGCTTCGCAAATATGATCCGGGCGGGTGATGCAAGCTGTTCTCAACCACCGTCGAAGGTTTGGAAGGCTCTAAAGAATCGCTCTCTACGGGCAGAGAAGGGCAGGTCGCTGTCTGCCAGTCTGTCTGGGGTTGCCTTGCCAGAGATGTCTGTCTAATGTCTCTGCGTGTCTCCGGCATGTCTTTCTGCGTCTCACGGTATCGGTGGCTGTTCAGTCCGCCGAAGATAATTCCCGTAGAACCCTACCCTTCAGCATGCGGCGCGCGAAAAGCAGTCGTCGTGCATGGGCCGCAAGTTGCGAAGCACAGGAACAAAGTGAGGCACAAAGCCGGGGCCTGCTGTCGCATCTGCAAAGTCTTGAGAGTCATGACCTCCTTGATCAAGAATCTGGCTCAGTCTGGCTCCAAAGCGCGTCTAAGTGCAGTCTACACCTCAGCTTCACGTGTCATGGATAAGTCCTCAGCGTCTTCGAGGTGTCCTCGACAGGTGGTGGGCGGTGGCGTGCGATGTGATGAGCGCCTGCACTTTGGCAGGTAAGTGGAAAGCTGAATGCCATGTAGCCACACTGAAATGGAAGTTTTCGAAAATGGGGGACCCTAATATAGGACGCTGAATGCCCTAAATACTAGGACCCTTTTTATAAGGACCCCAAAATAAGGTACCCCTAATTTTCAGAAACTTCCTACTCGGAAAGTTCTTCCCAGCTGGGGGTCCGGCACACTCGCCGACCCTGTGTCCGAATTGGAGGCAGTCGCTGATGCGTTGCTCTCT